TGTGTGTGTGTGTGTGTGTGTGTGTGTGTGTGTGTGTGTGTGTGTGCGACGAGGGGCATGGCGTTCTGCGCGCTCCTTCCGAAGGCTGGGCCTGGTGGTTGGCGCACGGGACCACGCGGGGATCCACCATTCACGCCACCACCATGCTTGGCACCCGGATCTGAAAAGGTCGAGACCCATAGCCCCAAAGGCTTCCTCGAAGATGGCGATCTTGAGTCGCCCTCCAGCCAACCACGGCGCCCCAGCGGCGTGCACCTGGCGCCTGCGGCACGGTCCTTCATCCGCGCTATACGCTCGGCCCCACGACATGAACCTGATCGCGCGCGCGCGACAGTTCGAGCGCATCTTTCATATGCCAGAAACTCGGCCTTGGCGGGCCCCGGGTCGCAGCACACCAGGGGCACCCAGGGTACACACTACGGGCCCCCTCCCCTGGCAGAGCCTCCCCGGGGTTGCTCCAGGCTGCCCCAGGAGGTTCCCGGAGCTTCAAATAAGCTCGCAGAGGGAGCCAAAAGGTCCCACGAAGCCCCCCGGGCTGCCCAGGGTGGCTTCCAGAGCTCTACAAAAGCGCCAAGAGGATCTCTTGACAGTTCGAAGATGGCTCTGGCCCAAACCCAACCATCGCTCAAGAAAAATGCGTTTCTCTATGTGTTTCGCTGTCTCGCTTGTTCGAATCCGATCGGATTTTGAAGCCCCCCGCGGGTCCCAAATCTTTCAAGATAGCCCCGCAAGATCCTCAAGACGACTTAATCAAGCGGCCCTGAAGACGACCCCAGGACAGCACAAGAGGCACCCAGAGGCCCCCAAGAGGAGGTCCCCAAGAGGGCTCCAGGAGAGTTGCGCGAAGGCCCTGGGAGGCCTCCAGAGCCTCCCCAGATGCCCTCCAGCTGCGCTCTCGCCAAGATGCCCCCCAAGAGGCTCCCAAGAGGCCCCCGAGAGCCGCAAAGAGGCACGCATGAAGACCCCTAATAGGCAAACAAGCCCCCTGGCGGCGACCGTAGAGACTACACGATACTTCTCGCGGTGCTCCCATCGGAGACACTTCCATTCCGGAAGGTATACAAATACAATCTCCCCCTTAACTCCTCCTCATTATCCTCCTCTTTCTTCTCCTCCTCCTCCTCCTCCTCCTCGTCCTCCTCCTCCTGCCTCCCCCCCTCGCCCTCCCCCACTCATCTCTCCTCTCCCCTGCCTCCTCCTCCTCCTCCTCCTCCTCCTCCTCCTCTTCCTCCTCCTCCTCCTCCTCCTCCTCCCTTCTCCCTCCCCTCTCCCTCCCGCCTTCCTCTCTCATTCCCTTGCTCTCCCTCACTTCCTGCTGCCTTCTCCTTCCTGCTGCCTTCTCCTCCCGCAGCCAGGGCCAGGCGCACCGACCTCCAGGAAGAAGCGGCACCACTGCCGCCAGGGGTGCCGCCTTCAGCGCGGGGGTCCGCGAAGCTTCCCCGACTTGGGGGGCAGGGAACGCCTTCAGAGGGGAGGGGGGGGGCACACTTCAGTCGGGCCTGTCCCTCTGCAGGGGGGATATTCAAAAATAGTAAAAAAATAGTCGGGGGACTATTTTGTTGAGTATTTTGGGGCATCCTTCTACCTAACAGCGAAGACTGATAGGCTTTAGTAGGGTCAAAAGAGAGCATCTTGACGCCCCAGGGGGGTCTGGGCGCGATCCGGGGGAGGATGCCGGGAATTTTTTTTAGCCAACAGTAACGCACTTCGTGGTCTTTGAGTTCCCAGAACTCCATTCCTGGGCATGATTTTGAATGCCCGGAGCCAACTGTAGGCCACTTCGTGTTCTTCGAGTTCCCAGAACTCCATTCCTGGTCATGATTGTGAATGCCCGGAGCCAACTGTAGGCCACTTAGTGGTCTTCGAGTTCCCAGAACTCCATTCCTGGGCATGAGTTTGAATGCCCGGAGCCAACTGTAGGCCACTTCGTGTTCTTCGAGTTCCCAGAACTCCATTCCTGGGCATGAGTTTGAATGCCCGGAGCCAACTGTGGGCCACTTCGTGTTCTTCGAGTTCCCAGAACTCCATTCCCGGGCCACCTTTTGAATGCTGAGGCAGGCTGATGCTGAGGCTGAGGCAGGCTGAGGCTGCAGGCTGAGGCTGAGGCCGAGGCTGAAGGCCTGAGGCTGAAGCAGGCTGAGGCTGAGGCTGCAGGCTGAGGCTGCAGGCTGAGGCTGAGGCTGAGGAGGCTGAGGCTGAGGCTGAGGCAGGCTGATGCTGAGGCTGAGGCAGGCTGAGGCTGAGGCTGAGGCTGATGCAGGCTGAGGCTGAGGCAGGCTGAGGCTGAGGCCGAGGCTGAAGGCAGCTGAGGCTGAGGCTGAAGCAGGCTGAGGCTGAGGAGGCAGGCTGAGGCAGGCTGAGGCAGGCTGAGGCTGAGGCTGAGGCTGAGGCTGAGGCTGAGGCTGAGGCTGAGGCTGAGGGCTGAGGCTGAGGCTGAGGCTGAGGCTGATGCAGGCTGGCTGAGGAGGCTGAGGAGGCCGAGGCTGAAGGCAGACTGAGGCTGAGGCTGAGGCTGAGGCAGGCAGGCTGAGGCTGAGGCTGAGGCAGGCTGAGGCTGAGGCAGGCTGAGGCTGAGGCAGGCTGAGGCTGAGGCTGAGGCTGATGCAGGCTGAGGCTGAGGCAGGCTGAGGCTGAGGCCGAGGCTGAAGGCAGACTGAGGCTGAGGCTGAAGCAGGCTGAGGCTGAGGCTGAGGCAGGCTGAGGCTGAGGCTGAGGCTGAGGCAGGCTGGCTGAGGCAGAGGCTGAGGCTGAGGGCAGGCTGAGGCTGAGGCCGAGGCTGAAGGCAGACTGAGGCTGAGGCTGAAGCAGGCTGAGGCTGAGGCTGAGGCAGGCTGAGGCTGAGGCTGAGGCAGGCTGATGCTGAGGCAGGCTGAGGCTGAGGCTGAGGCTGATGAGGCTGAGGCTGAGGCTGAGGCTGAGGCTGAGGCTGCGAGGCTGAAGGCTGAGGCTGAGGCTGAGGCTGAGGCTGAGGCTGAGGCTGAAGCTGAGGCTGAGGCTGAGGCTGAGGCTGAGGCAGGCTGAGGCTGAGGCAGGCTGAGGCTGAGGCTGAGGCTGAGGCTGATGCAGGCTGAGGCTGATGCAGGCTGGCTGAGGCAGGCTGAGGCTGAGGCCGAGGCCGACGGCAGACTGAGGCTGAGGCTGAAGCAGGCTGAGGCTGAGGCAGAGGCTGAGGCTGAGGCTGAGGCTGAGGCAGGCTGATGCTGAGGCAGGCTGAGGCTGAGGCTGAGGCTGATGCAGGGTGAGGCTGAGGCAGGCTGAGGCTGAGGCAGAGGCTGAAGGCAGACTGATGCTGAGGCGGAAGCAGGCTGAGGCTGAGGCTGAGGCAGGCTGAGGCTGAGGCTGGCTGAGGCTGAGGCTGAGGCAGGCTGAGGCTGAGGCTGTGACTGCGACGGCCGTTGCCACTGCGACTGTCATCGCGAATGCGACTACGACTGCGAGAACAGCAGAATTCTACAACTGGATTTCCATCTGAATCTTAAGAGGAATGCTTCCAGATATGCTCCTGCACATCGCCGTTAGGTTGCTCTGCCGGGATAATGCATTATGTTTGAGCGTTCTTTTGGCTCGCGACCCCCCTGTATGGGGGACAGGCCCGACCTAAGGCCACACCACCGGGAGGGCCCCCCCCGCGCTGGTGGTGCCGCTCCGAGGGGGGCACACGGCTCGGGCCGCGAAGCCTCGACCCTGGAGCGCCCCCTCGGGGGCCGGCCCCCGGAGCTCCCCCGGGAGGCTCCCGGGGCTGTGCAGGATTCCCTCCTCCTCCTCCTCCTCCTCCTCCTCCTCCTCCTCCTCCTCCTCCTCCTCCTCCTCCTCCTCCTCCTCCTCCTCTCCCTCCTCCTCCTCCTCCTCCTCCTCCGAGGGCCTCAAGGGGGTCCCAAGAGGCCCCCAGCCTGCCCCAGGAATCGGGGGCCCCCAAACGAGGTGGTGACCACACCGTGCGGTGAGTCGGTGGGGATGCGGGGTCACCGCACGGTTTTGGGACTCGGGTCGTTCTCTGAGGATGTCTCGGGCGACAGGGGCCTCCAGGGTCCCAAAACCGTGCGGTGACGGACCGTGCGGTGAGGTCTCTTGGGATTCCGAGGTCACCGCACGGTCTGTCACCGCACCGTTTCGGGAGTCCCACGAGAGCCCCAGGGGGGTCCCAAGAGGCCCCCAGTCTCCCCAGGACGCTTCCTAGCATTAAGTCGGGCCTGCCTATACAGAGGGGATAGTTGGATAGCCAAAAGTAGTCAAAAAATAGTATGGGGACTATTTTTGAATATTTTTTGACCATTTGGGAATATGTTGTGAGTATTGTTTATTTTTCGTCGAAAATCCCCCTGTAGGGGGACACCTCCGACTTAATCCTAGCAGCACGATGGGGCCCCAAGAGTGGCCCGGGAGGCCGCCGTAGTGCCCACACAGGACTTCCGAGCGGGCCACGTCAGTCAAGAACCAACAGGAATGCCTTTCATTCCTGGACTTCCCCTTTGTTGCGTAAACGTGTTTCCAAGATGGCTTCGGAGGCCCAAATGGTACCGAAGAGAGTTGCCATATATTTCCCAAGGATGGCCCAGGACTCCCGCGAATACCAAGCCTCAGTGCGACTTCGGGCACCACCGCGAGGGCTTCCAAGCCAGGTCCCGATCGTCCTGACACGGCCCCTCTGGCGCGCTGTACTCTTGGCCCCATGGCAAGTAGAACTTGAGCGAGCGCGATGCCCGCAATGTTTCCAGTATGTATATATATATACACACATATCTATATACATATATATATATATAGATATAGGTATAGATATACAGATATAGATATAGGGGCATCGAGACATACACACATACATATATACATATATATATACATATCACGTACGCCCTCATTTTCTTTCTCCCTCTCTCTATCCTTCTCTCTACATCATTGCCCCTGCCCCCTCCATAGCCATTTTGGCCAAAGTTTGACCCCGGCCTGCCCTTTGCAAGACGCCGTCGCAGCGCCCCACGCACCCGTGGCGCGGAGGCGAGATGCCGGACCTGACCAGCCCGCCCATCCACCATCGGTGCGCCGGTGTCGCGCAGACGACGAAGAAGATGCCGTCGGCGTCGACGGCGGCGGCGGCGGTGGCGACGAAAAATGCGGCGGCGGCGGCGACCGGCCCGCGGACCGCGGCGGAGCGGCAGCGGCGTCCCTGCGGCCAGACGGGCAGGGGGCGATGTCGTCGGGGGCGGCGGCGCGCGGACGACGGCGGCAGCGGAGCGGCAGCGACGTCCTGGTGCGTCTGGGCGGGGGGCTGGGGGCAACGCCGTCGACTTCGGCATCGCGCTTGGGCGACGTCGTCGATGGCGACGTCGCCGTCGTGGTTTGGGCTGGAGATGCTTTGGGGCCTTCCTCGCCGCGGCCGGGGGGGCGGCTCGCACCCACTGGCCAGTAGTGGCATCCCTGGAGGGGTCCAGTGGCTCGTTTTCAGCGTAGCCTGGTCGGGGGCAGGGCGAGGAGGGTGGCCCTCTGAGGATGCAGGATAGAGCCTTCTTGATCGCCTTCCAGGTCGCTGCTCCTCCCCCCTTCCACCCCTGCCTATTAAGAGAAGCCGCCGCTCGCCCCACATCGTTCAGCCCGCCGCTGGAAGGCGTTCCCAGTCGAGGTCCCGCATGCAGATTGCGCTGGCGATGATGAGCCACAGGTCGGGGGACGCCGGCTACAGACGTTGCCCCGCGCAAAGCTGTGCGTCGCGAGACACACGGCCAGCGTTTTCTCGTCATTTGGGCCCGCTGGGGCTGACTTCGAACCCTGGCACAATCGAATCACTATCCGAGTCGGAAAATCTATCCTGGGGATGGGGCCGAGAACTCCGGGGACGGCGGGGATCTGCGCACACCGATCCCGGGCAGGCCCATCTTCGGCCCAGGGTCGACGACGCTGCCTCCCCGGCCAGGCACGGATCGTGCGTCAGCCCGTGCCGGTCGTGGGCCTGGGGGGGCCCGGCCAGGATCGGGCGAAGGTGCAGGTGTGCAGCTGGCGTCCCCCTGCGAGGGGGGACGATCGCTCGAGAAGCACGGAGGCCCCGTCTGGGCGGGCCGCCTCGCGCGACGCGGGCTTGCTCGGGCGGCGCTCCAGCAGGAGCCGGAGGGGGCTGGCGAGCGACCTGGTGGCCGCGGTGTCGAAGAGCCTCGCGCAGCGGCTCTCCGATCACGCGCCAGTCCTGGACGGCCGCCGTGCTCGGGACATGGCAGCGTTCGTTCACACCGGCGCGACTGGCGGCGACTCCTTGTTGGGCCTGTCAGAGTGTTTCCGGGGTGCGCTCGAGGCGATGGAGCTGAGCGACACGAGCAAAGGCATGGTCCTCGCTGGCGCCTACCACTGCCTTCAGGCAGACGACGTCCAGCTCACCCCCCAAACGTGGCGGCCGCTCGTCGTGACCTCGCTGCTCGTCGCGGTCAGCGAATTGTGCGGGCGCGCGGAGCGCGAGCAGGCGATTCGCAAGCTCAGGCGCTCCACGGCCCAGTGGTGGTCTCAAGACAAGGCCGACCTGGCAGTCGAGGTCTTCAAGATGCGCGATGCCTACGTGCGGGATCCGCTCAGCCATCAGAACGTAGTGGCGCTGTACCTCAAGCTGCAGGCTCGCTCTTCGGAGACCGCTTCACTCGGTGAGGATAGTAGCTCGTGGTCGACCGCCGTCGAGCTTAAACGGGCGTCCAAGAGGAACGCGCATGTCAGGGCCTCGACGCGGCGGTCAAGCCGCAACGGCACCCGTCACGCCTACAACATCGAGCGCAGCAATGCCATCCTGGCACTCTCCGAGTCGAGGTGTCGAATCACCGTCAACAACGTCGACACATCCGACCTCTCCGTCATCTCCATCTGAGGCTCGCGATGCTGCGCAGCGCTCTGGCTCATAGTCGCCGCGGGGGACCCAGTTCTGCTCTACAGAACTGTATCTCGTTTCAAAGCGCGCGCGTGCCGGTGCGGAGTCTTGTCGCCGCCGCGACAGACAGCGCCGATTTTTTGCAGCAGGGCTGAAGGGTTTTCGCTGCGTTCAGTTATGGTTGGCAGGGCGACCCAAAGAAAGGGCGGTCACAGGCTGCCTCTCGAGCGCGGCAATCAAGCCGCTTTGAGAGTTGGCAGCGCAATACCAGCCCTTTCTCTCTCTCTCTCTCCCTCTAGATTTATAGATGCACATTCTCCGAGCAGTGCTTGCCCTTGGGGTTTCTTATTTCTGCTCTAAGGACCTGGGCCTGACGGTTGGTCTGGCGACTACGTGGCCGCCGTCGCCGCTCCGTCGCCGCCTTGTCGCAAACAGAAATGGCGCACCACATCGATTGCACCACGTACACTGCTCCACATCTACACCCTGCGAAATGCTTAAGAAATCATGGGTTCAGAAATTCATAGTCTCAGAACTTTGGGTAAAAACCCAACGTTTCCACTAAAATCTGAAGATTTACATGGAAACGTTAAGAATAATCGAGACTCTGGCCGAAAATTTAGGTTTTCTTAAGCATCGCCTAAGGTGTATGGCACCACAGACATTGGTCCTAATCGATTCGACCACGTCATTTGCAGCACCAATGCTGCACAGCATAGATTGCACAACACATACTGGACAACCTGGATTGCCCCACATACGTCGCGTCGCATATATGGCTCCACATAGATCAAACCGCACACATTGCACCACGTATATTGCGCAACGTATATAGCACCGCATCGACTCCGCAAAATAGATTGCACAACATAGGGTTCTCAGTATGCATATATAGCGATGGCTCGACATCGATTGCACTACATAGGATGCTCCACATATACTGCACCACAAGCATGGCCAGCAACACTGATTGGGTTCACGCTGGCTAACATACGCTTCTTCCTCTCTCTCTCTCTCTCTCTCAGTTCTTTTTCACCCTTGCGGGTCAAGCAGGCCCTAACGCTACGAGTTACCAGCTCCTCCTGCCTCCGCCATCCTCCGACTGCACTTCCGCCGAGCCATAGATTGGTGCCACCATGCTCGGGCTCGAAGTATGAGCATGTGATCTTGGTGTCCTCTTTCGGCCATCGGCAAGCGCAGACCGAGGAGGACATCAAATCAAGTGGCGTTTGATTTATCTGCGAACTGTGGGCATCGTGATGCGCGGGGGGCCCGATATCAGCTTCATGACTAATGTCTAATCATCAGGTCGCATAGATAACGGACAAGCGCTGGCCACGCAGAAGCACAGCAGTCGCGTGGCATTCTACATCAGCCGGCCGGCAGAGGTCACTCGGGCATTGGTATGGACAAGAGAAGTCCATGCATAGGTTCGTATGAACCGCGCTGAAATATCCGCGGGCGAGTGGCTTAAAGCCAACTTCTCGGGTGGACTCCGAATCATTTCAAATATTCTTCGTTCAATTGCTTGGCCTTTCCTCTGCGTAAGTGATTATCAGGGCCGTGGGTCGTGTTTTTGTTCTCTGAGCCGGCCATGTCCGAGCAAGGGGCAAACTACAACGGCGCGGTGAGATAGGCAGCTCAAGCACGCGCTTTCCGTATGTGTTTGTGGTGAGTCGAATGCGCCACCAGCTCATGCTTCCAGAGCCTCTGCTTGATGTTGCAGCCAGGTTTCATTCGCAAGTGATCGATGCGCACACTTTTAGTCAATGTAACGTCGAGGTGCTCCTCAGCTGATCAGCTGCGCGTTCGCCATCGGCACGATGGCACCCACAGGTGCATTGGATACTGGAATGTCGAAGGCATCTGGGAGGCCGCCCCCACCTGGAAATAATATGTTTATGTATCGTTCGGTGCGTGATGTGGGTTCGAAGTTTCGCGCGTGAGCTACGTGAATCGTAGCGCACATCCATCCACGTTGGACACTATCGCAAGCCAACTGGGATACATCGCAAGGCACATATGTTTGTAGATGTACATCTATAGCCCCAGGAGGTCGTCAGTTGTGATTCCCCCTTTGTTACTCGGTGGTGAATAGGACTGGTCCTGAAACCTCTTCCTCCTCCTCCCCCCTCTCCCCCCTCCTTGTCCTTCCCCTCCTTTCCGTGAGAGCGCTCCTGAAGCATAAGTCGTAGTAGTCGTCGTAATCGTAGTCGCAACCGTCGTCGTAGCTGTTGTCGTCGTTGTTGCGCAGCGGGTGCTGCAGAAAAAGAGTTAGCCTGATGAAGGACCCAACCATATGCTGCTGCGAGTACCGCGAGGGAGAGGAGACGAAGGAGGGGGGCAGCCAAAAGGATTGCGGCGTGCAGGAGGGGGAGAAAAGCTGACGCATGCGAGCGGGGAGTCTTCTTGGTTTCGCCCGAGCCCCGTGCGCGGCCCGTGCCATGCGGACGCTCCCGCTGGGGCCTTCGGTGGAGCTCCCTATGGTTCCTCGAACCGTGTGAGGGATGCGCCGAAATGGGGCTGCAGTGCCATGCGGACGCCCCCATTGGGGCTTTCGGTGGAGCTTCCGATGGGGGCCACGGACCGTGTGAGGGGTGTGCCGAAATGGTGCCGCGGTGCCATGCGGACGTTCCCGCTGGGGCATTCGGTGGAGCTCCCTATGGTGCCACGAACCGTGTGAGGGGTGCGCCGAAATGGGGCAGCGGTGTCATGCGGACGCCCCCACTGGGGCCTTCGATGTAGCTCCCTATGGGGCCTCGAACCGTGTGAGGGGTGTGCCAAAATGAGGCGGCGGCACCATGCGGACGCTCCCGCTGGGTCCTTCGGTGGAGCTTCCTATGGGGCCTCGAACGCGGTGCCATGCGGCCGATCCCTCTGGGGCCTTCGGTGGAGCTCCCTCCCTATGGGGCCTCGAATCGTGTGAGGGATGCGCCGAAATGGGGCTGCAGTGCCATGCGGACGCCCCCACTGGGGCCTTCGGTGGAGCTTCCGATGGGGCCACGGACCGTGTGAGGGGTGTGCCGAAATGGGGCGGCGGTGCTGTGCGGACGTTCCCGCTGGGGCCTTCGGTGGAGCTCCCTATGGTGCCACGAACGGTGTGAGGGGTGCGCCGAAATGGGGCAGCGGTGTCATGCGGACGCCCCCACTGCGGCCTTCGATGTAGCTCCCTATGGGGCCTCGAACCGTGTGAGGGGTGTGCCAAAATGAGGCGGCGGCGCCATGCGGACGCTCCCGCTGGGTCCTTCGGTGGAGCTTCCTATGGGGCCTCGAACGCGGTGCCATGCGGACGCTCCTTCTGGGGCCTTCGGTGGAGCTCCCTCCCTATGGGGCCTCGAATCGTGTGAGGGATGCGCCGAAATGGGGCTGCAGTGCCATGCGGACGCCCCCACTGGGGCCTTCGGTGGAGCTTCCGATGGGGGCCACGGACCGTGTGAGGGGTGTGCCGAAATGGGGCGGCGGTGCTGTGCGGACGTTCCCGCTGGGGCCTTCGGTGGAGCTCCCTATGGTGCCACGAACGGTGTGAGGGGTGCGCCGAAATGGGGCAGCGGTGTCATGCGGACGCCCCCACTGGGGCCTTCGATGTAGCTCCCTATGGGGCCTCGAACCGTGTGAGGGGTGTGCCAAAATGAGGCGGCGGCGCCATGCGGACGCTCCCGCTGGGTCCTTCGGTGGAGCTTCCTATGGGGCCTCGAACGCGGTGCCATGCGGACGCTCCCTCTGGGGCCTTCGGTGGAGCTCCCTCCCTATGGGGCCGCGAACCGTGTGAGGGGTGTGCCGAAATGGGGCGGCGGTGCCGTGCGGACGTTCCCGCTTGTTCCTTCGGTGGAGCTCCCGATGGGGCCTCGAACCGTGTGAGGGGTGTGCCGAAATTGGTGCCGCGGTGCCATGCGGACGCTCCCTCTGGGGCCTTCGGTGGTGCTCCCTCCCTATGGGGCCTCGAACCGTGTGAGGGGTGTGCCGAAATGGGGCGGCGGTGCTGTGCGGACGCTCCCGCTTGTTCCTTCGGTGGAGCTCCCGATGGGGCCTCGACCCGTGTGAGGGGTGTGCCGAAATGGGGCAGCGCTGACGTATGCCACCGCTGCCATTTTGGCCTCCGTGCCACGAACCGTGTGAGGGGCGCGGCGCTGACGATGGCGATCGTGATGATCATAATGATGCGGATCAGGACGATGGCGATGCTGATAACGATGATGACGATGACGATGGCGATGACGAGGCGGATGAGAGGAGGGAGGAGGGGGAGGAGGGAGGGGGTAGCGGGAAGGAGGGAAGGAACGCGGGGCGCTGCCTCTGCAAAACGAGGACCCAACACCACAGGATGGTTGGGAATTAGTTCCCCCGTATTGGTTGGACTCCAGTCCCTCAATAAGGCCGCCGAACAATTATTGGGTATTAGGGTGGTCTAAAGACTTTACACGGTTATATATATATATATATATATGTATCGAAGGTTGGGGGGTGCGATCGCAGTGGAACGGAGACCCCTAACCGGGAAATCGTTTCGTTTCGTTCGTGTCGCGCGTGCGGGCGAGGCGAGGCTGCGTGGGCGCGCGAGAGGAATAAACCCGCCGTTGCTAGGGCGGAGTCAAGACAAATGATTCTCCCCCGTCCGTCCGTCCGTCCGTCCGGCGGTGGTCCTAGTGGTGACCCGCGGTGTCCCGTGTAGTCCCGTGGTGTCCCGTGGTGTCCGCCGTTGCTAAGGCGAAGTCAAGACAAATGGTTCTCACCCGTCCGTCCGTCCGTCCGGCGGTGGCCCTAGCGGTGTCCCGTTGTGTCCCGCGGTGTTCCGTGGTGTCCCATTGAGTGAGATCGATAGTGAGATCGATATTGAGATCGATACTGAAATCGATACTGGAACGAGCGTGTTCTACCGCTGCTGGCGGAAAACCCGGGGGGGTCACTACTGGTTCGAACCCCCTCCCCCCTCCCTCCGGAAAACGGGGGGGGGTCACTACCGATTCGAACCCCTCGAACACCCCCCCCCGTCCATCATGAAAAGGGGGGGGGTCACTACCGATTCGACCCCCCCCCCTCGAAAACCGGGAGACGGTCACTACCGGTTCGAACCCCCCGCCCCCCCCCCCTGAAAACCGGAGATGGGTGCAGACAGTGGTGGGGACGGTGGTGGTGGGGACAGTAGTAAGGGGACAGCGGGACAGTGGTGGGGACAGTGGGAAAGTGGTGGTGGGGACGGTAGTGGTGGGGACAGTGGTGAAGGCGGTGGTGAGGACAGTGGTGGGACAGTAGCACGGTGGGGAAAGTGGTGGGGACAGTGGGGACAGTGGGACAGTGATGGGGACAGTGGGGACGCTGGGACAGCACAGTGGGGACGCTGGGACAGCACAGTGGGACAGCGGCGGGGACAGTGGGACAGTAGTGGGTACAGTGGGGACAGTGGGACAGTGTTGGGGACCGTGGGGAAAGTGGGGAGAGTGGGACCGTGGTGGGACAATGGTGGGGAGAGTGGGGATATTGACACACTGGTGGGGGCACTGGTGGGGACAGCGGGGACAATGGTGGGAACAGTGGGTACAGTGTGACAGTGGTGGGGACGGTGGTGGTGGGGACAGTGGTGTTGGGACAGCGGTGGGGACGGTTGTGGTGGGGACAGAGGTGTGGGGACAGTGGGAACGTGGTGGAAACAGTGTGGAGTGGAGGGTACAGTGGTGGTGGGGACAGTGGTGAGGGCGGTGGCCAGGACAGCGGTGGGGCAATGGGACAGAGGTACAGTGGGGACAGTGGTGGGGACAATGGGGACAGTGGTGGGAACAGTGGGACAGCTCAGTGGGACAGCGGAGGAGACAGTGGGACAGTGGGGACAGTGGGGATAGTCGGGCAGTGGTTGGGGCCGTGGAGAACGTGGGGAGAGTGGAACCGTGGTGGGAACAGTGGTGGGGACAGTGGGGACAGTGCGACAGTGGTGGGGGCACTGGTGGGGACAGTAGGGACGGTGGTGGAACCAGTGGGGACAGTGTTGGTGAGGACAGTGGTGCTGGGAACAGCAGTGGGGGATGTGGCGCGGACGGTGGTAGGGACCGGGAGTCGTTTGCTGGCGGTGAGGGGGAGGGGGTTCGAACCGGTAGTGACCCCCCTAGTTTCCGCGGCGGAGGGGGGCCGGGGGGTTTCGGAACCGGTATAGTGACCTTCCTCTGATCTGGTTTTCGAGAGGGGGAGGGGGTTCGAACCAGTAGTGACCCCCCCCCGTTTTCGAGGTGGGAGGGGGCGGGGGGGGGGCTTCGAACCAGTAGTGACCCCCCCCAGTTTTCCGGAGGGGGGGGGTTTTAGGGGAGGGGGGGGATGGGGGGGGGGGCCTCCAGAGGGGAGGGGGGGCGGGGATGTTCGGAGGGAAGGGGGGGGGAGCCCCGGGCTCTGGAGGAAGAGGGGAGGGGAATTTTCCACAGTAAAGCGGCGGTGGATCACGCCCTCTCCGATACTGAGATCGATATTGAGATCGATGTGGTGACCCAAGGTGTCCCGTGGTGTCCCGTGGTGTCCCATTGAGTGGGATCGATGGTGAGATCGGTAGCGAGATCGACAGGGTTCCCGTGGTGTCCCGTGGTGTCCCGTGGTGTCCCATTGAGTGGGATCGATGGTGAGATCGGTAGCGAGATCGACAGGGTTCCCGTGGTGTCCCGTGGTGTCCCGTTGAGTGAGATCGATGGTGAGATCGATACTGAGATCGATACTGAGATGGATGTGGTGCCCCGAGGTGTCCCGTGGTGTCCCAAAAAGTGAGATCGATAGTGAGATCGATAGTGTGTCCCGTGGTGTCCCGTGATGTCCCGTGGTGTCCCGTTGAGTGATATCGATCGTGAGATCGATAGTGAGATCGATGTGGTGTCCGTGGTGTCCTACGGTGCCCCGTCGTATAGGTATATATACCTATACGACCACCCTTCGGGTGAGAAGGAGGTTGCGGGGGGGAGAAGAGGGGGGGGAACCAACATCTGACTCAATCGATCTCACTCAGCGGGGCACCACGGGACACATGTCGATCTCACTATCGATCTCACGATCGATCTCACACCACGGGACACCACAGGACACCACGGGACACCGCGGGACACCTCTCGATCTTACTATCGATCTTCTTTTCGATCTCACAATCGATCTCACTCAACGGGACGCCACGGGACATCACGATGCACTTGTAGGTCTCAGTATCGATCTCACTATCGATCTCACTCAACTGGACACTACGGGACACCTCGGGGCACCACATCGATCCCAGTATCGATCTCACTATCGATCTCATTCAACGGGGCACCACGGGACACCTCGGGACACCTGTCGATCTCACTATCGATCTCATTATCGATCCCACTCAACGAGACACCACGGGACACCTCGGGGCACACACATCGATCTCAGTATCGATCTCAGTATCGATCTCACTCAACGGGACACCACTGGACACCACGGGACACCTGTCGATCTCCTTACCGATCTCACTATCGATCTCACTTGTTCGGACACCACCAGACATCGATCTCACTTTTTCGGACACCACGGGGTACCACGGGGCACCACATCGATCTCACTCTCGATCTCACTATCGATCTCACTCAACGGGGCACCACGGGACACAACGGTACACCACGGGACACCGCGGGACACAGCTAGGGCCACCGCCTGATGGACGGGCCGGGGAGAATCATTTGTTTTGGTTTCGCCCTAGCAACGGCAGACACCACGGGACACCTCGGGACACCACATCGATCTCATTATCGATCTCACGATCGATCTCATTCAACGGGACACCACGGGACACCTCGGGACACCTGTCGATCTGACTATCGATCTCACTATCGATCTCTTTTTTCGGGACACCACGGGACACCTTGGGGCACCACATCGATCAGTATCAATCCCATTATCGATCTCACAATCGATCTCACTCAACGGGACGCTACGGGACACCCGTCGATTTGACTATCGATATCACTGTCGATCTCACTCATCGGGACACCACGGGGCACCACATCGATCTCACTATCGATGTCACTATCTATCTCAGTATCGATCTCACTATCGATCTCACACCACGGGAGACCACGGGACCCCGCTAGGGCCACTGCAGGACGGACGGACGGGGGAGAATCATTTGTCTTGATTTCACCCTAGCAACGGCGGCAACGGCGGACACCACGGGACACCGCGGGACAGCGCTACGGCCACCGCCGGACGGACGGACGGGGGAGAATCATGTCTTGACTTCGCTTTAGCAACGGCAGGTTCTTTCCTTTCGCGCGCCCACGGAGTTTCGCCTCGCCCGCACGCACGACACGAACGAAACGAACCGATTTCCCAGTTGGGGGTCTCCATTCCACTAAGATCTCACCCCCCCCAACCTCCGATATACACACGTATTGTTATGCATGTGGGCCCGAGCGTCATTCGATGGAGGTTCGATTGTTCGGCGATGATGTTCCGATTGCGTCGCGATTGATTCCATATTGCGGTGCGATGGTGTCTCGATTGATTTGCAACGGTGCCCTCAGTGATTGCTTTTGCCGACTGTGATCCACTAGGCGTGTTATCCATTTGCAATGGCGGTGTGATGTCCAGGTCAATTTCAGGTTAATTCGCGATCCCAAGTCAGCTGCGTTGGTGTCCGATTAACTCGTGACTGGTTCGAGATGGTGTCTCGCATGATTCGCGATGGGTCCCGCTTGATTTGCGCTTGGCTTGTGGCTGATTGCGAATGTGAACCGTTTGTGTCCACATTCATGGCGTATGGTGTCTAGGTTGGTTTCCCCTTGTCTCCCGAGATATGTTCGATAGAATCCCGACCATATCCTGATAGGCGTGTCAACTTAATACGAGTGGGTGGCGAACCTCGCGTGAATGGTGGCTGAAACGCTGCCCAGTGTATACCAGACGTGTTTACACCGAATTCGCGAAGCGACCCGCCGTTGCTTGCAGCGGCGAGCCCGCCCATGCGTGCGAGGCTACAGGCCTCGGCCCTGTTCTTGAGGAGACTCGGACTCAGCCCTCTCTCAGGCCGCCCTTCAGCAGCAGGGAGTCCAGAGGACACCTTGGCCCTGCAGCTCCGAATTTTGCCTCGAAGGTGTGGGGAAAAAATAGCAGCCAAAGCCGCCCACAAGGTTGCCGACCATTCGAGGGCCTCGCTGCCTTGCGCTGGCCCAGCTGCCATTTAGAAGCCTCCAGTAGGCCCGCTTATCTGTCTTAGCTCCTGCGCATTACGGGTGTTGTTGTGCAGAGTGCGCAGCGTCTGGCAGCGTCCGATTGGAAGTTCACCAGGGGGTGGGCCATGATTTGTCTACCCAGGTTCGTCTTCGTTCAATGCAGGCCGCAACTGTGCTCGTGCTTGCTCGTGCTGTGGCTTGTTTCGGGCATGCTGCGCCCATACGAGTCATGACATGCTTTGCGAGTCCTAGGCAGCTCCCCCACCCTATGGGGGTTCTAGACTTCAAGGGGAAGTTCGCGATCCGCCGATCTGCCCCGCACGCCGCGGCCGCCAGGCCCTAAGTATAACCGAGGATCCCTGGGAGCCCAGTCCCCGCGCCCTGCATACCAAGGCCAGCGGGCCCCACACCTCCCCGAGGGTTTCTGGGAAACCTCGCCTCGCATCCTCGACGAACGACAGGCCAACCACGACAGGTAAAGTGATACAACGGACCTAGTGACCAAACCGACGTCAATAACACTTCAGGGCGCCACGGAGGCCCAGCTCCATAATAAACCCAGGCGAACGAAGCAACTCAGATGCACGACAGACGAATGGCAAACGAAATAGCGATAGCATGACAGACAAGTAACATACATGCACTGTCATGACATGCAATCGTGCAACATGACGCAGCGTGACGGCGTCGTGCGGCCCCGCTGAGCGAACATGGTCATCGACACGTAGACAGGATGGGCACCAACGACAGGCACAACTAACGTACATTACACAGAAAACTACAAACTAGTGATCAGGCGAAAAGAAGGGACACACAGCACAACGGGAAGGCAGACACAAATCCACACACGCATTCGTTCCCACCGACGAGGTGTCGAATCTAATCGGTGGGCAATGCTACGGGCCACACACTCGAAACTTTACCATCGGCAGGTACAAGAGACAGACACAACTACCATGAAGACATCACATACTATACACATGCAGGCGTACGTATACACATAATGTGCATTGAGGGCCCATAATGTACACATGCGATATGCGTACGTACATCTCAAACACGCGTTGCAGAACTGGGACATGAGAGTGTGCTGAAATGGTCGGGGTGGCGCCATGCATTGACCGCCATGTATTGACCGATGTTGGTATGCGCAGCTATTTCACATACACATATATATATACACATAGATATAGAGAGATGTTGTACACATCATGCTGCGACGCTTGAATGTATCTCGCTTTGGGAAGTGCTCTCCCCGACATGGAATCCACCCGTTCCTTCTCCTCCTCGTCCTCCTCCTCCTCCCCGTCTCTCCCCTCCACGGAAAAAGGCTCCGCGAACTTCAAGCCCGCCCAGGTGCCTGCCAGGATCCTCGAGGGGGGCCCAGGCTGGCCCCTGCAGCCTCCAAGAGAGTCCAAACCAGCATCAACAGGACTTCGACAAGGCGGTGGAGAGTTTCAGCTTTTTTCTGGCCACTGTCTCAAACCTGAGGAGGAGAACGAGGGGGAAAAGCATTGGAGAATGGCAGGTGGAGCAGGAGCAGGGGAAGGGAGGGACAGAGAGAGGGACGGGGGAGAAAGGGGAGGAATGCGAGGACACAAACAGCAGGAGGAGAAGAGGATGACGACAATGACGATGAAGGCGGAGCAGGAGACAGGCGGAGGAGCATCAGAGACACAGGAAGACAAGAAGGGCAACGGGGACCCAAGGGGGGGGGGGCGGGGAGAGAGAACATGAAGGGAGAGGGCAAAGGGAGAGTCAGTGACGTGGTGGGAGCGGGAGTCGGAGTGTGAACGGCATGAAGGCAGTCTATTCGACTAGATGTTGAGCGCGCGCGCCTCGGGGGGAGGTACTCACCTGGAGCAGAGCAGGACGAGGGGGCAACGAGGGGAGGCAGAAGGGGCCAGGGAGGGCTGGAGACGAACAAGTGTAATAAACAAGTGTGATCCAAAGCAAGTGTGATAAAACACAAGCGCATCACACTTGTTTTTTATCACACTTGTTTTCTTTTTCGCACTTGTTTTTTTATCAGACTTGATTTTCGTTATCACACTTGTGTGAAGAGGACAGAGGACGGCCAAGTAGCGGCCAGGCTGCAGATAGGTACCCGTAATTAGACAGAGGAGGCAGGCGAGGGGAGCGATGAACGAAAAGCGACGATGAGCGAGAGGCGCCGGGGACGCAGCGAGAGGGAAGCAGTCGTAGGTCATGCTGGCTGGCGCGATAAGGCAAGTGACGGAACGGGCATTGCCGAACTCATGCGCAGCTCGCGCAAGCTGGCGCTACGCCTAGCTCAAGAGGCATCGCAACACGAGTCCGAGGTGTCTTGACAGCGCCTTCACCTGCGCCAAAGACAGCGCCTTCATCGGAGCGACGCATATAAGGAGAACCCAGAAAGGACAGCCACATAAGGCAGACGACACTACCACGTACCACTTGCACGAATGACAAGCACATATGACATGTTGCGAAAACCTGGTGGCACTCGGCAGGAGGAAACAAGTGCCATTTCTATAGCAGTCCTTGCACAGAGCTCTTACTTGCGATGAGGGAGCTGCCCTTGAATTCCGCATGTGTCACTGTGCCTGCTGGTGCCTCATGGCTGGCGCCCTATGGTTCGTGCCCTGCGGCTGGTGCCCCGTAATTGGAGCCATATGGTTGGTGGACTATTGTTTACGCTTCGCGCATCCCCACCAGCCCATTCTGGAGCCCTGTCCATGAGAGCTGGCGGGAAAAGGGACGAAGAGACACGTATAGTGAAAAAAAGCGGGCAACCAGGGTGAACAGAGAGATCTCTAGTGCTCTGGGGCTTTTCTGGTGCCCTCACGGGGTCCTCATAGGGCCCTTTTGGGGCCTTCTTGGGGCTCTCTTGGGGCCCTCTTTGGAGCTATGGAGCGCCTCCTGGGGCCATCTTGGAGACCATCGATCAAAAGAGGGGGTGTCCTAGATTTGCCCCCCCCCCCCCCTCCGGGCCCATCGAAATAGCCTCTTGGGACGCTCTTGGGGCCCTCTTGGGGCGATCTTGGGCGCTCTTGGGGCCGTCTTGGATGTCTCTTGGGCCCCCAGCTCTCTTAGGCCATCTTGGGCCTCGGTGCCCTCTTGGAGTTCTTTTGGAGTTCTTTGGGAGTGGGTGGGGTTCTCTTGGAGCTCTTTTGGAGGGTCCCGGGGCGCTCTGGGGGCCCTCTTGGATTTCTCTTGGGCCTCTCTTGGAGGCCTCTTGGGAGCCCTGGCTGGCCTCTCGGGGCTGTCGTGGAGGGTGTCAGTGAACAGAGGGGAGGTACTAACGTTTAGTCCCCCCTCCGTGGCCATCATGCTGGCTTCTTAGGGCTGTCTTGGGGCCCTGTTGGGGCGATCTTGGGCGCTCTTGGGGCAGTCTTGGAAACATCTTGCGCCCTTCTTGGAGCTCTCCTAGGCCATCTTGGCCCATCTTGAGGCCGCAAAAGCGCATCGGAAGCGAAAAGGCGAAAAGGCAAACATCATTGCTTCCCTGATGTGTTTGAAGGATTTTGGCTTCTCGGGGAGGTCCTGAGGGGTCGCCAAAAGCGCCTGGAACCGTCTTGTGGTCATCTTGGAGCCCCTTGGAGGTATCTTGTTAGCTATCTTGAGCCATGTTGGGGTATCTTGAGCGATCTGAGAGGCTATCTTGGGCTCTCTGAGGCCCTGTTGGAGCCATGTTGAGCCATCTTGGACGCCCTGACAACTCGCGCCCCCCCCCGTCTAGGTCCAGGGGAGGGGGTGGGTCAAGCTTCCCACCTGCCCGCCAGCCGTCCTGCTCAGTCCCACCCGCCCTCCCAACACAAACATAACACCTGGGAGCCAGCATATCGCGTAAGCACGCCGTTCCAGATACACCAGACCCTGGAGGCCCAAGCGTGCCAGGCGCGCCAGGTGCGGCATATGCTCCACGTGCGCCTAGTGTTCCACGTGCTCCAGCGGCGCCAGGTGCGCCAGCCACCTGGAACCAATAGGGGCTCTTGGTCCTGGCTTTGAGCTTTCTTGCGCAATTTTGGAGCCATGTGGAGGTTTCGAAATCCCATGGGAAACGGTACGGCGAAAAGGCAACAGCCAATGATGTGTCAAACCAGTCGGTCCATCACTTTTGCCCCGAAGGCAGGTGGGATCTGCTGGCGTCCCAGCCGTCCTTGTAAAATACATACGAGATGGTCGCGGGGCGGCCGTGCATGCTCCAAATGTGCAGGCAGAGTGCGTGTTGTATGGTTGCACGAACGAAATGGGTACGGAAAGAATGGGTACAATGCCCAACAGCAGTTCCTGTTCATTTTGAACAGGAGTCGCTGTCCGCGCCGCCGCGGCTTGTGCTAATTTGAGACAGAAGGCCGCCTGCCCAACAGCGGTCGCTGTTGGTTTGGGTCTACATTTGTTGTCGGGCATTGTGCCCATTTTTTTTCCGTACCCATTTCGGGCGTCCAAAATTCGTTGGAAGAGGGAAGACAGACATCGTTGGACCGCCCGTCACCCAGAGGGCCGGTGGCATTGTTGGTGCCCTGTGGTCGGTGCCCTCCGCGCTGCGCCGCAGAGCTCGCGAGTCGGGCGTGCAGGAGCCTGCTTGCGTGAGGAGCACTCGCTGGCACGTTTCTGCTGCTTGCTGTGTTGGCCATTGGTCCTCCTCCTCCTCCTCCTCCTCCAACTTATTGTGGTGGTGGTGGAAAACGTGCCGTGTCGCCACGGATGGACGGAGGTCCAGAGATTCAGCGAGGGCGTCAATTGGGTGGATGTCTGTGCCCGATTCGGGGGGTGCAGAGGGCAACTCTTGGCTTGATGCGCCACTGGTCAACTTGGTTTGGCTCGCGTGGAGCCAAGCATTTGCTTTCCTCATCACTGGTCGCCGGTTGACGCTTGAAATTGTGCTTATCGTTCAGCGTAATTGTGAGACAAGTGGGAACATGGGTCGCAGCCCCTGTCATGTTTAGGCTTTCAGAGCGTAAACATTGAGCTTCCTTTTTAGCCTCCCGTTCTTCCCGTCAATCATCGATCCTCTCCCCCTCCGTTATCACATGTTGTCGCCTTCGTCTGCCCATGCATCCTATCATCCACCCTCCCCACATTTTTTTACCGACACACTCTCATCGTATCTCTTTTGCACACGCTTGCTCGACAGACTTGTCGTCCGTTCCAGCGCCCATTCTTCATATCCCCGTGTGCTCGAGACTTGCAGGCAACGCCTACAAGAACAAGAGAGTGCTCGTCGAGGCGATTCACAAGATGAAGGCCGAGAAGATGAAGGCCAAGGCGCTAGCAGAGCAGCAGGAGGCGCGCAAGGAGAAGGCGAAGCTTCAGAAGGCGAAGAAGGCGGAGAAGAAGGAGGCGGCCCGTTCTTCCCGTGCATCTAGGTATCGTCCCGTCGCGTCCAGTCTCGCTGCGATAATCGTCGTTATCAGTGCCTCTTGCTCCTTCTTTTCCTTCGCTTCCTCCTCCTCCTCCTCCTCCTCCTCCTCCTCCTCCTCCTCCTCCTCCTCTCCTCCTCTTCCCGAGCAATTGCCTAACTCCTGCGTGGCCCTGGTTCCGCGCGTTACCTCGAATTTGCAAATGTGTGTTTGCGTGCGCAACAAATTATTGTAGTTTGCATTGCCTGCCCCGCAATGATCCCAGCCAGTGGAAGCAGCGTGTGGGAAGCAACGTGTGGGCGTGGGGCACGGGCGTCGCCTGGCTGATGGCGTCCTGCAAATAGGGCGCTGCTGGACATGCGCGAGATCTGACTCGACATCTGGGCTGGCAGGGAGGCCCGCATTTGGGCGGCGCGGCGCCCAGTGTTCCAATTCCTGCATGCGGGCGTGGACCGCTGAACCACCCAGCGGCTTCTCGGCAGCGAGGAGCTCCGCCGCCGGCACTCTGCGGACCGTGATGAGCGGCAACGTGGTGACAAAGTCCGTCGCGGCGGAATGGGGCCGGCCGCAAGCGTGCCCCCCCGCAGCGGCGCCGCTACCGAGGACATCGAACACAGGCTTTGGGCTTCCCCCAGTTGGGAGCCACAGCGCGTGGTAGCGGCGCAGCGGGTCGGCATCTCGCACACGACCGCCCGAGCGCGGTGGCCAGCGGCGGTGGCCCTCACCAGGGCATTGGCGTTGGACCCGCGGCTCGCCGATCTGGAGGAGCAGCAGCGGCTCCCCCTGCTTCCGCCCGCGCTGCCCGATCCTGCCGGGCCGCACGTGGCGCGCACGCGCGTGTGGACCGATGCGGCACGCGAGTGCCCGTGCGACCCGCTGCTGGTCAGGGCAAGCTATGGTGCCCGCGTGGAGCGGCACCTCGACGGGCCCCTGGAGCTGCGTGGCCCTGTTGACAGGGCTCAGACCACGCAGCGGGTCAGGTGGGGGTCAGCACGGACTCGCGATTCGCGGCCAGGGATCTCGGCGATCCACGGGGGCGCGGATCCGCGCGTATGGGCGCATGCTGACATCTCGGACCGGCTGGCTGCGCACTGCCGCAACGGCCTGCTCCAGGCGCGTTGGGTCAATGGTATCTTGGACGCAGCTGAAGCCAGGGAACGCGGCCTTTCCGAGGAGGACTGGGCGGGCAACGACGTGGCGGACCAGCCGGCCGGGGAAATTGTTGGTTGCCGCTTGCCGCCGCCCGCCCAGGTTAGCGAGCGGCTGCGGCAGCTGCAGGCGCTGGAGGCGGTGCAGCGCATGCTCGCCGGCGTGGAGCTGGCCGCTGCGAAGGCGAACCACAGCAGCACTGGCGCTGGTGGCCCGCGCGTGCGGCGGCGTTGGGCCCCTGATCGGCCCCTGCTGGGCCCCGGCTGCGCCGGCGGCGACCCAGCGGGGCGCTTTCCCAGCGGGGCGGCGGCCGCGGCGCAGGCGTTGTTCGCAGGCGCGGCGTGGCGGGCGCACGCGGCCTCGCAAGGCCCGGCCTGGGCGCGCCTCGCCTCGCCAGCCGCCCCTGCGCATGCTCGGCCCCGGCGCTGCGCCCGCGGGCGGCTGGGCTGCTGCTGCTGCTGCTGCTGCTGCTGCTGCTGCTGCTGCTGCTGCTGCTGCTGCTGCTGCTGCTCGGGGCCACGCGAGCTGGCGGGAGCGAGGCCGGTTGGCGCGCGGCGTTTCGCCGCCAGCTTCCTGAGCGCCCCGGCCTGCAGGATAGATCAACGCCCTGATTTGTTGTTGCCTCTCTCGGGGCGCTGCCGCATTAATTCCTATGGTGCCTCCTCCTCCCAATCCTTTGTGTCCTCCTTTGCCGCTGGGCTTCGCTGGATGGTGCAAGAAAGTGTAGGCGAACCCTGGTGTCCCGCTGGCGACCTGCTTAGGGGGTGCGGCATCCTGCGACGCGTGAGACCGATCAGAGTGCAGGGGAAGGGCGCAGGGGAGAAGAGGATTGAGATGAGGATAGCGAGGTGGACAGCGATTGAGACGATAATACTCACGCCAATACTCATACTTATGATGACAATGCTACTTGTAATAAAATTAATAATCATACGGATAATAATAGTAATGATACTAAGAATGAGGAGGAGGAGGAGGAGGAGGAGGAGGAGGAGGGCGGCAGAGGAGGAGCATTTTCGTAATTCTCCTGAGGCGGCAGAGTGCACGATGAAGAGCAGTCGCGGCGGCAGGACGACAGAAGACACAGTACGAGGAGCAGGGCGTGAGCAGGAAGAAGCAGGCGCTGGAGCAGGAGGAAGCAGAAGTCGCAGCAGGAACAATAACTAGATAATGTGGGAGGAGGAGGAGCAAGAGGAGGACGAAGTGCGCACGCGCGCGTCGTCGCGCGCGTGCCGAAATCCTTCAAAAACCTTAGGTTTCGCTGCGGTTCCAAAACCGAATGTCCAAAACACACTCGACACACGCAGGGTTTCGCAACATCAGTTTTCATATCAAGCGTGCGCGAACGCTCTTGCGAACCCTTAAGAACACCAGCGATGCTTCAACATCTTCATGGAATTCTGCCAAACGGGCCTCTGGCGCCGCATGCCGACATCATTCGCACGCCCTTGCGCGCGTGCTGGTGGGGCACGATCTGTGTCAAATATAACCATGCGGGCCACTCTCGCGCGTCGGCACCGCGTGCATGTCGAACTCTTTTCCAAAACCTTCCTCCCCGACGCGAGGACGTCGTCATCGTCGCCGGCGTGATCAGCATCGACGCCCGCATTGGCCGCGCCTTCGTCAGTGCGAACGTCGTCACAAGCATCGCCGCTGTCATCGTCGCGCCCGCCCAAGCCGCCGACTCGCAGTGAAGTGCCCGTTGGGATGCGCCCAGCGGTCAGCGCCACCGCGGCCGCGTCGGTGTCGCCAAACTAGCTGGCCGCTGCGCGCGCGCGTGCTAAGGTTGGCGCGGCCGCAAAGGTGCACCAGCCAATGCCAAGCATGCACCGCAATCGCCAACGCACGAATTGCGAACCAAGTTGCGGGTGGGTGGGTGGGATGTTTGCAAGAGCACAAGATGTGCCAACCCATGGGTAACAATCACTTGCGCCACTTAGATTGCGCCGCGTAGAATGCAGTAATCTACTGTTTGGGGCCCACGTCTGGCGAATACAATATTACATAACAGGGGAAGAAGGAAAGGATGCCGAGGGAGGAACACAACGAGGGGTGAAAAATATGATGAGGAGGACCAGGAGGAGGACGACGAGAAAAAAAACAAGAAAGGGGTGAGGGCGACAACAGGGCGAGCACAGGGAAGGAGGAATTGGCCAACCCCGCAGCCGTTCTGGCCCAGGCTTTTTCTAGACACCCGTCTCGACAAACGCCTTGGTGTCCTACGCCTCGCCGCCGTTGTCGCCGTCCTCTGTTTTTGCTCCGCCCGCTTCCCTTCCGGAGACCTCCAGCGGGTTGAAGACAAAGGTTTTCACGGATTTCTTCTTCGGCTGTTCCTCGCCAAAGGCTGGGATTGCAAGTTTTTCCAACATGCAAAGTTGGCCCTGGGGAGACGATCGGGGCTTCGGGGGCCCTGTACGCAAGTTCAAACATCGGACCTGTAGGTCCTCCTCGTCTCGCCCTTCCTCCTGCACCTTGTCCTACTCCGTCTCGCCCTGCTCTTCTCTAGATTCTTACTCCTTGTCCTCGTTTCAAACGAAGACGAGGAGGAGGAACGTGAGGAAGAGGAGGAGGAGGACGAGGAGGAGTGCCTCTGCTGGGCCTCTGCTGCTGCTGCTGCTACTGGTCCTGATCCCTCCTCCCCCCGCGTGCCCCCCCCCCCCCGCCCCTCCCTCTCCCCCCCCACTCTCCTTGTCCTGTCCCTGGCCGGCTGGGCGCCATGGTGCCCCAGGACTCGCGGCCCACGGTGTTGTGCGATTGCCCGTTCTTCCCCGAGTTTCAGGCGCTCTTCGACGAGAAGGTCCGCTGCGTGTTTGCCACCGACGTTCTGGGCAAAGGCCGCGGGGGAGGGCCAATTAGTCATGGTTGGCCCATTCTTGAGCCGAGGATGTGCCATGCGTGGCCCATGATTGGGAAAAGGGGTATCCAAATTAGTAACTTCAGTCCCGTTTTCTCCACTGAGTGCAAGCGTGCACTGATGGGGTGTCGCGGTCGTCGCCCAAAGGCCACCACCCCCGCCCGGGGCCGCTCGGGGCCCCGTCCATTGAAGGGTTCACGTCTCTCATGCTTCTAGTGCTCACTCTCCCCTTCCCAGGCTCGTATCCCGCTCTTCTCAGTGTCGCCGCTGAGCTGGTGCGAACGGATCCACACAGGACATGCTTCCAGCTCTCCCAAGCAGGGAGAGGGTTGACCGGAAGGCTGCACGGTCCGTGGGATCCGACAACAGGGAAACTTTGCAACACTGTGAAAAGTTGCGACAGCCCCAGACCCCATCTTCCTGCACCACTTTTCGAGCCGGATCAACCTGTGAGGCAGGGTCCCAGGGCCCGAAACATTGAGACGCCAGGATATCAGAGACAGCCCGCACTAGTCCTGAGACCCAGACTCCTCAAGCAGCCGAGGGGTGGACGAGCAATCCCGTTGAGTTCGGCTCAGTCCCGCTTCACCTGGCCAAACCCCACAATCCGGCTCAACCAAGGATTTCGTCCGGCCTGATCCGGCTCACTGGCCCTTTGATCGCCCTCAGCCCCGTTCTGGCGAAGACCTCCCAGGAGGTGTCTCCCAGCCTGCCGCGCGTAGCCGAGGCGTGGACGCGCTGACGCACGCCGACATGGCCGCGTTCGCTGCCGCCGCGGAGGGCGAGCCCGGCGGCAGAGGGGCCGTGGCCGCCGTCGTCTCGCACCAGCACGCGCCCTGGGGCGCGGAGGCCCTGGGGCGCTTGCCGTCGCTGCGCGTGGTGAGCAACCACGGCGTCGGCCACGGGCACTCAGAGGAGGAAAGCAAGCAATCTAGGCCTCCTGGATGGGGTCGGAGTAGATGGGGTCGGAGGATGGGGTTGGAGTAGATGGGGTCGGAGGATCGCGCCACAGCGCTGATGCATCGCCGATGCGGCTCGATGTGCAGCCCGATTTGCTTCACGTCGACGTCGCCGACGCATCGTCGACGTCGACGATGCATCGCCGTTGTATCGGCGATGCGGCGCGATCCTCCGATCCCATCTACTCCGAACCCCTCTAGGAGGCCTCTAAGCAAGCAAGCAAGCAAGCTAAATGCTGAGTGCGAAACGCACACGAGCACCTGGCCACTATCGCGCGGGGTCGCAGTGCTTAGTGACTGCGCCCCGCCACGCTGTGGCCTAAGAAACGGTGTCATGCCATTTGCCAGAAGGGCCTCCGAAAGTCTTCAGGAAGGGGGAGGGGAGTCCACAACCCTCCCAGACGAGCAGTTGTAGAGCCCCCCAGGCCAGCCATGAAAGAGCGGCCGTTTGCCCAGATCCCCGGGAAACCGCAGGACAGTCCAACTCAGACCCCTTCTATCATCAGACCTCGCCTTTCCCAGAATGGCCTTCGGAATGCCGATGTTTATACCTGCCTTTGCACAGCTTCCGCCTTGTTGGGCCTCCTGGGAGGCCCTCGTCGCAACGACTGGATTGTCCTCGAAATCCTGGTCGGAGCGCACCCCCCTGGAGAGGTCCCGGACGGCATCAGTGCATTTTGGCCCCCCCAGGCACATCGACGCCGGTCACCTCCGCGAGCGGGGCGTGCCGCTCGGGCCCCCCCGGAGGAGAACGGCGGATCAGGGACCGCGGGGACACATTGGGGGGGTGACATGTTCGGGGGGATTCTCGACAGCTTCCGAAGCCCTGGGCCGCTCCATCCGCCTCGCCTCGTCGAGGACGCTCCGAGGGTGCCGGAGTCGTCCTGGACGGCCCCTGGAGAGCCGCGTTATGTCCCGAGGGTTCTGGGCCTCATCGTCGCATCTCCCCGCGGCCTCCCCGAAGGGGGGTGCCCTCCGCGCCGCGGCCAGAGTCGCCCCGACATTCTCGTCAGCCCCCCCTCCCCCCCGGGAGACGTCTGGGGAGCAGCGGCATCGGCATCTTGCCTGGCTCCGCAGGTACACGCCGGGGGCGGCGTCCGCGCCCACGGGAGAGCTCGGGGCGGGCTTGATCCTGGCCAGCGCCAGGAGCTCGGGAGCGGAAGGCCTGGAGGTGGCCCGCCCCCCTCGCTCTGGGTCGCAGAGCCGTGCGCGTCACACCATGTACGCCCGCTGTCCTTGGAATTCTCCGCCTGGTGGCCGTCTTGGTACGTGTTGGTCGCGCGCGTGTGTGAGTGTGTGTGTGTGTGTGTCGGTTCCTGGGGGATCATCCCGTCCGTGCAGAGGTCGGCAGGAGATGGTTGAGAGGAGAGAAGGGGGAGGAGGAGGGGGAGGAGGAGGAGGAGGAGGAGGAGGAGGAGGAGGAGGAGGAGGAGGACAAGCTAGGTGCGCTCGCGTCATATCTGACATCCTACCCCTCCCTCCCATCCCTTACCATGGCGTAGATCCCCTCTCTACTCGCACAGTCGGATGTCGAGCAGGGCAATGATCCCGAAAGGGTACGCGATGCATTGTAGAGCACGGCGTGGCATGGCGTAGAAGAGCACCGCAAAGCGTAGCATCAACCTAGCATTGCATTGCATGCCGTGGCATGGCACGGGAAATGACGCCAGCGTTGCAGCGGGAGCACGAGTCGGAACGAGCGGAAGCGCGGAAATGAGGCCAGCGCTGCAGCGGGAGCACGATTCGGAACGAGCGGAAGCACGGAAATGATGCCAGCGCTGCAGCGGGAGCACGCTTCGGAACGAGCGGGGCCCGAAAATGAGGCCGGCGCCTCATCGAGAGCAGCATTTTGGAAACAAATGCAAGCGACAACTCAACTCCGAGGAATCTTGTGTGTAAAAAACAGTACGCGGGGGGGGGCTAATACTTTCAAGCCGTCATAAGGGGAAAAGGGAGAGTAGTATTCATATGGAGTAATTGTGGAGGAGGAAAAGAAGCACGACCAGTGCAAGCCCAAAACGCATCAACGATGTTGAAGTGATCCATACCCCAAAGTTCCCTCTCCATAGATCTGTACAACAATTTAGATTCAAGTGGGGATATGTCGAATTTGAGGTCGACCGTCTGAGAATGCCCAATCGTGCCGAAGACCATTCCTGGGATTTCATCGCCGCGGATCAACTCCACCGTCGCGCCCTGACAATCGTAAATCGTATCAGAATACCACCCTTATGATTTCAACACCGCGGCTCAACGTGGCTGTTGCGTCGCGATTGTTCTAAATCTTGCCGGAACGCCATTTTTAGGACTTCAACCATACGAACCGTGAGACTGCCACAACATTTTGACACGAATGTGCGCGGCGCTACGGCGAGAGCCACATTTTGAACATGAGACGCCCTTCACCTTTGAAGCCTTCCATATGGTGTTAGCCGGCGTGGGCCCTCAGCAATGTGTTTCCAGCAATACATGTGGCGCAATGTATGGCGTGCATGTTACGCTGTGCTATCTGTGTTTTGCCAACTACGTGGCGCAAATTATGTGGCGGGATTGATGCTTACAAACGAATTGGCACATTCCGTATTCTTGCAAACATCCCACCCACCCACCCGCAACTTGGTTTACAAATCCCATGGCGGCGATTGCGATGATAGCTTGGCGTTGGCTGGCTCTTCTCTGCGACCGCGCTAGCCAGCGCATGCTCGCGCGTACAGCGGCCAGCTAGTTTGGCGCGACCGACACGGCCGCGGTGGCGCTGACCGCTGGGCACTCCCCAGCGGGCGCTTCAGTGCGAGTCGGTGACTTCGGCGGGCGCGGTATCATGGCGACGCCGACCACGGTAGACACGATTACGAAAGTAGAGAGTGGTAGTGACGATGGTGACGATGAAGACGGCAAGGCCAATGACGGCGCCGATGTTGATCACGCCCGCCGATAACAATGACGATGTCCGCGCGTCGGCGATTGAGGTTTTAGCAAGAGTTCGATATGCGCGCGCGGCCGACGCGCGCGAGCGGCCCGCGTGATATTATTTGACACGGATCGTGCCCCCCCCCCTCCCCCCTAGCACGCGCGCAAGGGCGTTCGAATGAGTTCAACATGCGGCGCGAGAGACCCGTTTAGCAGAAATTGAAGAGCGTGCTCGGCAACCGATGGTTGTCTTAAGAATCCTCAAGGGCGCCAGCGCAGGATCCTTGTGAACACTTAAATTGCAAACCCGTGTGCGTTTCATGTGCTTCCGAGTCTCCCGATTTGAAGTACTCCCGAAACCAACGATTATACATATAATCCATAAAACGAGAAACCCGCATGCGCGCGCGACGGATCGCGCGTGTGCGCGTTGTCATGTCTGTTGCAAGGGTTTTTCGCGGCAGCGCGCGCGCGAGGGCGATCGAACGATTTCGACGCGCGAGCGAGAGGCCAATTCGGAAACATGTCATGGAAAATGGTCACAACCGATGTTTTTTTCAAGAATTCGCAAGAACGCAGGCGCATATTTTGTTGGACAACTCTTCTTGCAAAGCCCTGCGTTTTTATATGTGTGTTTGGGAATTCGGTTTGGGATCCTTACGAGACCGAGACTTGTTCAAGGATTTCAGCATGTGCGCGCGACGACTCGCGCGCGCGCGCTTTGCCAGGGGGCGTTGGGAACCCATGACTTCTGATAGCCGAGAGCGCGGGCATGTTTTTTTTGGGCGGGAGGGCAGAGGGTGGCGGGCGAGTTCAATACCAGCCTGGCTATAGGACGGTACGAGTTCATATTTAGGATGGACGATGGGGCACAGTCTATGTACATTGCAATTCGAAAGAGGGGGTGGTTAACCCCGGGTGTTTTACGGCTAGAGTCTAGGTTGTGCAACCCCCATTGCGCAACTCAAATACGTGGTGCAATCCACGCTGTGCAATCGAAGTGGCGCGCCCTGCGTGGCGCAATTCACCGTGCCGGGCTTGATTTTAGCAACTCCATTGTTCGCGCAGTCTTTCTACCCACCTACCCCCAACTTGGCTTGCAACTGTTTGGCGCTAGCTCTCGCATCGCTGCGGCCGCGCTAACGAACGCAGGCGCGTGCACAGCGGCCAAATTGTTCGGCGCGACGGACGCGGCCACGGTGGCTGTGGCCGCTGGGGACTTCCCAGCATGGTCTCGCAGGCCGCTCTGGCACGCGGGCGATTCAGTGCGAGTGGATGATTCGGGCGGGCGCGGTACCATGGCGACGTCGACAATGGCAGGCACGAGGATGATAGTAACGATGATGGTGACGAGGGTGACGCTGACGACGGCAGGGCCAGAGACGGCGCAGATGCTGGTCACACCGATGACGCTGATGGTGTCCACGCGTCGGTGGTGGAGGTTTTGGAGGGATTTCGGCATGCGCACGCTGCCGATAGGCGCGAGAGGCCCGCATGAGTTCATTCTGCAATGGTCGTGCACCCTCAGCAAGCGCACGCCGGTATTCGAATGTTTTCGGCGTGCGCGCATGGGAGACCCGCGCGGTTTAATTTGATGAGCGCGTTGGAAGCAGATGGTTCCCGCGTGACATTGCAACAACGCGAGCATTTTGTTGTTGTTGTCTTTTGGGGTGGGGTGGGGGGCGAGACGCACGTTGCGACACAATGTGTTTGATCCGCACGTTTCGGCGACCCCGATCTTAAAGTCCACGTGGTTCCCTATTGGTGTGGAAGGATTGTGGCATGCGCGCGTGAAACCGCGCGCGTGTAAACTTGGTTTCATGTTTTGGCATTGAATTCGTCCTCCGCCACCAAGCGCGCAATGGCGTTCAAACAATTTCGACATGCGCGCGAGAGGGGCCCGTTTGATCACATTGGACGGGCACGCAGGAGATCAAAAGTGGTAGTGTAAAAACTCGCAAACGCGCGCGCAGACGTCGTTTCACAATTCAGTTTGCAAAGTCGTTTGGCTTATGCCATACATGTTCGGGAAGTTCTATTCCGAAACATTCGCGTGACAGTTTCGGTGTTTGAATAATTCCGTCCTCGTTGCGCGGTGCAAAGCGCGTTTGGGAGATGTGTTCGCAAAAGAAACCACTTTTTGTTTGGCCTTTTGTAAAATGTGAGAGATGAGTGTGCGATATTCATGGTATTTGTCACGGGTGGCGGGGGGGGATAGTACGTGCTCATGTTTGACATGATCAGTGGGGCACAATCACATGGGAATTGTTTATGCACGGCGAATCGATCTATTTGGGGCGACGGGTCGTATTGTTGTTTTTTGTTTGTGTTTTGCTTGAAAAACGAACAAACACAAACACAAACAAAAACATGTATGGAACAACATCACGTGGCGCAGCCGATGTTGTGCACAGTAGGTTTTGCACCCTACGTGGTGCAGGCTGCATTGTGCAACTTTCATATATATATATATATATATATATATATGCATCATAGGGGGGTGCGATCTATAGTGTGAAGCATTTATGGATCAACCTGTGGTGTGCAACCACCGTGGTGCCAGGTATGCTGCGAACTAGATGTGGTGCAGCTGGCGTTGTGCAGCCCATGTGGTGCGCGCTGCGGCCCATGCAGCACAACCGATGTACTACCCACGTGGTGCAATACATGAGCTTCCATGTGTGTTGTGCAGTATGGGGCGGCGACAGGGCGGCGACGAGGCGGCGGCGGCGACCACGGAACCGCCAGACCGCCACGCAGGCACAGGCGACGGGCGGCGACGAGGCGGCGACGGCAACCACGGAGCTGCAAAACCGCAAGACAGGCCCAGCCCCTGATGACAAACAAGTAATGGACTCCAGGTGCAAGTACTGTTTGAGATATACATAGCTACGCATACATATTTTCATGTATGCGACAAAATGCAAAGCAACGCAAATGAACTGGCGCAAATCAGTAGATCGCAATGCGCAGTAGCGCACGGCAGTGCAAACCAACGCAACAACGACGGGCGGCGACGAGACAGCGACGGAGCGGCGACGGCGACGACAGCCGCTGGATTCCCACACAGGCCCCGTTCCTTCCCACAAGGAAAATCCTCGAAGTGCAAGCAGGGTTTGGCGGAATTTGCGCGGTGCTAAGGCGCGAGCCACATTTTGAAAAACCACCCGCCCTCAAGCGGAAGTCTCAGGTGAAACGCCCAAACCACCCTACCGACAGGCCTGGGGGTGCGACAGGGAGGAGTTATTCACAAGGCAAGGGATGGAGGAGGAGGAGGAGGAGGAGGAGGAGGAGGGATAATGATCAGTGACAGGACCAGTTTGGGACCAGGCCTCTGCGGAAATTGGCGCCCAGCCATGTTAGTGGATATCTGGACGAAACTCGGTTGCCTTGCTCGTCTTCTCGCTTCCAACAGGGGCCCTGCGACCCCACGACCGCGTCCTCTTCCTGTGCTTGTGGACCCCCTTCGGCGACCATCCGCCCGTCAGAGGGGGCATGCGATCCCCGCGACTTGAGGGCACGGCCCCTGCTGGATTTGCCGACCGGGATCTATCAGTTCCTTCAGTGTTTTGGTGCCCGAAACCAGGAGATTACGCTTGTAGTGCATGTTTTTTCGTGTCTCAGGGATGGCAAGGGGAAGTGCCGCACAGACAGCTCCCAGACGCAGTATTGGCCAGCCTAGCCTGGACTGCCTCGGGACGATGTCTGCGCGCAACCCCGAACCTTGCCTCTCGCCGGTGGACGCCTTGCCCTTCTTCTCCTCTTCCTCCACCTCCTCCTCCTCCTCCGCCTCTTCCTCCTTTCCTCTTCCTCCTTTTCTCTTTGTCAGGCCGCTGGGCGCGGTCGCCTTCTCCTCCTCGTCCATCTCTTTCTCCGTCTCTTCCTCCGCCGCCCCCGCCGCCGCCTCCTCCGCCTCCCTTCTCCCGTCTTCGCCTCCATCCTCTGCCCCCCTCTCTCCTGCCTCCCTTCCTCCGCTCCCTCCGCCTCAGGAACATCATCCCGTCCGTCAGGAGGGCCTGCAACCCCGCGACAACCTCCTTCGACCCGTACTGGTACGGGAGGCGCGTCGCAGGTGCGACGCTAGGGATCGTCGGCTTCGGCGCCCTCGGGCAGAGCCTGGCAACGGTGACGCGGGGCTTCGGCATGACGGCTGGGGCCCAGGAGCCCCGTCACGCACCATGCCGTTCATCCTTCGGTCAGACGGCGGAGGGGTTAGGCAGGAGGAGGAGCAAAGTATGATCACGGATGAGAAAGGAACGTTAGTGAGGAGCAGGGAGGGGGGACGACGATGAGGATGAGGACGGTAAATACCACAGCAAGCCCAAAACGCACCGAATATGCTACAAGACATCATCCCGTCCCAGGGCCCATCCTTATCAGACTTCACAGGCGTCCTCGTTCATTGTGCCAGGCGGCCCCCTGGAAAGACGAGCGCCTCAGCGGCCCCCGAGACTGTCGGGATCTTCGTTTTGGAAGAAACTACCCTCCATCTTTCGAGCTGTAAGGGGTGCAGCCGGGGGGGGAGTCATGAAAGGTTCAAGGAAGTGCCCAGCAACAGCCCCGTTTTGGAAAGACGCCGTTCTCGATTCGTTGCACTCACTTAGCACGTTGGTCAGCAAAACTAGCGAAGTCTCAAGCCATAGCTCCATGTTAAAGTATAATCGCCCTCGATCCGTATTATTGTTGCACAGTTTTACACGTGCGGCCATATATTTGAGGGAGTCGCAAGCGAAAAGGAAGCGCTATCAATCCGTGTAACCACTTCACGTTCACAATGGAGACTGCGCGCCGCCACGGCGATAGCCTCATTTTGAAAGCGATGCGCCCTCCATCCGTGTAGCTGTTGGATTGGTTTATGACGAGTGTGCGCGGCGCCACGGCGAGAGCCCCATTCGGAAAAGAATCCTAGACGGTCGGTGGAGGCGCTCCGCTAGTTTGATGCGTGGTTTGCAGATACAGAGCCGATCACGCTCCCCTGGCGTGCAGGACTTCACTCCACTCTGGCGTCTTCCAGCCTCTCCCTTGCATGCTGCACCTGCTACCCTGGCCTTCAGCAGACAGCTCAGCCAGCTCCCCATCTGCTGCAGCTCCGCCGGCAGCTGCTTCTGAGTGCTGGCCCGGCCGCTTCGCTCGAGGCTCGCGCGTAGCCAATTAGGCAGGACCGTGCCCCGGACCTCCCCTTCTGCGACTGCGTGACCGCGTCCGCCCGCGACCAAAAAAAAAATAGCCCCACCAGGTAATTAGTAGGCCCGCGCCCCGGACTTACGACTCGCCGCTTGCGCTCTCGCCTGCGGCTGCGACCAAAAAAGTATCCCCACCAGCCCATCCACAAACGATGCGTAGGGGAGCTGACGGAAGAAGGGAAGGAGAGAAACACATAGTGAAACCGAGCGGGCGACAACGGTGAATTGGGAGATCTTTTGTGGTGAAGGTTGCATGTGTTGCTGCTGGTGCTTTTGCTCCTGCTGGTACTGCTTCTGCTGCTGTTGCTGCTGGTGTTGCTGGTTCTCGACCAGCGAATGCCCAGGCGAATGGAGGTGATCAGGGAAGTGAGGGAGCACACAGAGTAACCAAGGGCTGGGGAACCTGTCTTATCCAAGACGGCGAGGATGGAGGAGGAGTCGGAGGAGGATGAGGAGGAGGAGAAACTGAAGGAGGAGGAGGGGGAGCGGGAGGAGGGAGGAGGGAGGAGGGAGGAATAGGCGGATGAGGTGGAGGAGGAGGAGGAGGATAATGAAGACGAGGAGGGGGAGGATGACGAGGAGGAGGAGGAGGAGGAAATAAGGAAGAGTGGAGGAGAGGAGGAGGGGAGCGGACGGAGGAGGAGGAGAGGGAAGAGGCTGTGTCGATGGTCTATGATCAGTATTCCCAGATGTTTCCTCGATTTTCGGAATCTCCTCTGGTTTCTCTTGGAAGTGACAAGGGGAGGGAGGATGAGGGGGCGGAGGACGAGGAGGAAAAGGTGGGGGAGGGATATGAGGGAGGAGGGAGGAGGAGGAGGCTGAGGAGGTAAAGAAGGAGAAGGGGTAGGGTGAAACATAAGAAGAAGAGGAGGAGGAGGAGGCCATCTAGAGACGATGCCCAGGCGAGTTGCCCCGATCTGGCAAGTGAAGGAGCATACCGAGGAACAAAAGCTTAGGAAGCCGACGTACCCTGAGAAGGGAGAAGATGGCGGAGAAATATGAACAGAAAGGACACGAGGAATCGGATGATGATGATGATGATGAGGAGGAGGAGGAGGAGAAAGAGGAGGAAGAGGAGGAAGGAGAGGCGGAGACGGGGATGATGATGATGATGAGGAGGAGCGGGAAGAGGAGGAGGAGGAAGATGAGGATGATGATGATAAAGTGGATGAAGGGGAGAAGGAGAAGGATGAGGTGGGGGAGGGAATGGAGGGAGGAGGAAAGAGGCGGATGAGATGGAGGAGGAAGACGATGAGGAGGATGAGGAGGAGGACGACAATTGTGAGTTTGTGGGCCTCTTGGGCCGTCTTGGGGGCTTCTTGGCGATCCCGGGAGCCTGTTCCGTGCCTCAGGGGGGGGCTCTTGGGGCCGCTTGGGCGTCTCTTGGGAGCTTCGTGGAAGCCTTTTGGGCGTCTCTTGGGCCCTCCTGGGCGCCTCTTGGGGCCCTCATGAGGCGCTCTTGAGAGCCTTGGGGGCGCTCTTGGGGCCATCTTGGAGGAGATCGATCAAAGAAGGGAGGGGGTTTTAATTAGCACCGCCCCTCGGGAGCCTCTAAAATCGTCTCTTGGACCACTCTTGGAGCGCTCTTGGGCGCTCTTGGGGCCGTCTTGGGGCTCTCTTGGGTCCCTCTTGGGGCTTTCTTGAGCCATTTTGGAGCCATCTTGAGGCCTCGGATGGCCATCGGAAGCGAAACGGCGAGAAAGCAAACATCATTGGTTTTCCTTAGGTTGACTCTTGGAGGCCTCCTTGGAAAGGTATTTGGCCTCTTGGAGCCGTCTTGGGACGGTCTTGGAGCCTCTTGGAGCATCTTCGGAGCCATCTTGAGGTATCTTAGGCTATCTTGATCAATATTGGAGGTCATCTTAGGCTTTCCGAAGCGCTATTGGAGCCATCTTGGGCGAAAAAGTACCCTCTGACCGCTCGCGAAACGTCCCGTCCAGGTCCAGGGGTGGGGGAGGGGTAAGCCCCTCCCCGAAGGGGAAGAAGGAGGGGTGGAAGAAGAAACTCTCTAAACCACCTACGCCCAGAGGGCTGGTGGGACTGCGCTTGCCAGCTTTCTTGTGTTACGTGCGCGGCGCCAGATCGAAAGCGCTAGTTTGACATCGGCGCGCCCTCCACCAATTCAACAGTTTGAAGTTGAGAACTGCAATCTCGTCGACGGTGGCGAAGTCTTAGGCGACACGCCCGCCCGCCCAAGCGACACGTCTGGTGGCGCGAGAGGAAGGAGGCAGGTACGACGAAGAGGGGTGGAGGAGGAGGAGGAGGACAAGGAATAAGATGAGGAGTAGGAGGAGGAGGAGGAGGAGGTGGAGGAGGAGGAGGAGGAGTAGGAGGAGTCAGAGGAGGAGTACGTAAGAGGAGGAAGAGGAGGAGGAGGAGGAGGAGGAGGAGGAGGATGAGGGCTCTGGTGTAGCGAGCCGACTCCTGGGCCCCGATGACGCTCTACCACACCCGGACCCGGAGGGAGGTTCTCGAGGCTCAGCTGGGCGTCGCGTGGTGCTCGGGGGAGGGGAAGACAAACGCGGACGAGGATCTACAATCTACAGTCAACCCGCAGAGTAAGGATGCGCGATAAGGATGCTAAGGATGCAAGGGCCTTGGACGCCCATTTCGAAGCTTCCCGAGCGGGGCGCGGCCAACGAACGTGTCCAAGGATGGACCCAGGAAGCAAGGATGCAAGGGTACCCTTCGGAGGGATGCCTTTCCTTACTCTGCGGGTCGACTGTACCAGATTTGGAGCGCGTTTGGTTATGTTGGGCTTCTGGATGCCTCAGGAGGCATCCGGAGTCCCAGAGACCTTCAGAGACGATCTCTTCTTCCCTCCGTGGCTTGCCAGGCATTGCGCACCGCCTGGCTGTCCGTCCATCCGTCTACTTGTCTGTCTGTCTTCCCGAATCTCTTTGAGCCGCGGCGCTTGGAGCTTCTTAGATCTGGGACGCCTGGGCCACCGCCGCTCTCTCCAATCTTTGCGGCCCTGGCGATGTCGGGGGACAGGGAGCAAAAGCTCGCGCCCGGGCTCGGCACGGCGTGAGGCTGCAAACCAGAACTCCCGGGCTGCTGCTTTGGGGGGGCGGCTGTGCTCGGGGGGAGGCGGCTGTGCTGGGCACCGCTCCAAGATTGTGCTGTACCAAACCTCGCAGGGTGGCCCCTTTTCCCGAATCCGTGCTTCGGAGCTGATCGATTGCGCGCCTCGTCTCTGTCGACGTCGGCGTCGTCGTGGTCGCGGTGCGTGTTGCTCTGCTAGGGACTTGCTTCCTTCACGCTGTGAACACCACTTCCACCTCCTCTTTCTTGTTCTACTTGTCTTCTGTTCGCCCTCGGGGGGCCACGCAGTGACTGGACGCGTCTCGGAGAACAGATCAGGACGGTGCCTGCAAGGGTCCAGGGACCGGTTCTGAGCGAATTTGGGCCAGGGGGAGGACCTACATTCAACCCGCATTGCAAAGATGGGCAATATTCCCAAAGTGTACACTTGCATCCTTGCCTCCTCGGTCCATCCTTGGCCGCTTTCGCTGGCCAATCTCGTTCGAAAAACATGAACGTGGCCCTCCAAGGCCCTTGCATCCTTACCGCGCATCCTTATGATATGGGCTAATTGTAGTTGGACATCTGGCGTCGTGAAAGCATGTATCAGCGGATGATACTTGTCCGTCTGGGACCGTGCCCGGGGCGACCGCCACGCTGGGGACCCTCTCACTCGAGGCCACCGCCGCGCCGGTGAAGGTCTAGGCAGGCCCAATCGGCGCCTGAACACCTCCTTGGGAGGGCGGTGGAGCTCAGGGACCAAGGGGAGCTCCACTCCGTTTGCGGCAGGAGGACCTCAACGGATCGATTATCGGAGGTTGGGGGGTGAGTCCGACGTGAAACGGAGACCCCCCCCTACCGGGAAATCGATTTCGGTTTCGGGTTCGTGTCGTGCGTGCCGTGCGTGCGTGCGGGCGAGGCGAAGCTGCGTGGGCGGGCGAGAGGAAATCCTCCTGTGGCTGGGCCGCGGCCGGACCAAATGTTGCTCCTCCGGCGGCCGGTGCCGCGCGGTGTCCTGCCAGTGTCCCGCTGGTGTCCCGAAATCCTCCTGTGGCTGGGCCGCGGCCGAACCAAATGTTGCTCCTCTGGCGGCCAGTGCCGCGCGGTATCCCGCCGGTGTCCCGCCGGTGTCCCGCCGGTGTCCCGTGGTGTCCCGTAGTGTCCCGTGGTGTCCCGTTGAGTGAGATCGATAGTGAGATCGATATTGAGATCGATACTGCGATCGATACTGAGATCGATGTGGTGCCCCGAGGTGTCCCGTGGTGTCCCAAAAAGTGAGGTCGATATTGAGATCGATACTGAGATTGACAGGTGTCCCGTGGTGTCCCGTGGTGTCGTGCGGAGTGAGATCGATAGTGAGATCGATAGTGAGATCGATATTGAGATCGACAGGTGTTCTGTGGTGTCCCGTAGTGTCCCGTGGTGTCCCGTTGAGTGAGATCAATGGTGAGATCGATAGTGAGATGGATGTGGTGTCCCGAGGTGTCCCGTGGTGTCCTATGGTGTCCCTTCGAGTCAGATTGATAGTGAGATCGATACTGAGACCGATAGTGAGATCGAGAGGTGTTCCGCGGTGTCCCGTGGTGGCCCGTGGTGTCCCGTGATGTTCCGTTGATTGAGATCAATAGTGAGATCCATAGTGAGATCGACAAGTGTCCCGTGGTGTCTCCTGGCGTCCCGTGGTGTCCCATGGTGTTCCGTTGAGTGAGATCGATAGCGAGATCGATTGAGTCAGATGTTGGTCCCCCCCTCTCCCCCCCCCCCACAACCTCCTTATCACCCGTAGGGTGGTCGTATAGGTAGGCTAGGTGTGGATCCCGCGTCAAGATGTGCCGGGAGCTCAGGTTATGAATTGTGCCGCGGCGCGGTGTACCTGTTCAACGGCGCTCCCCGGACACCAGGGGAGAGATGCGCAGACCCGGCGGCCTGCTCGCGTCGTGAGCTGCGGGGGCGAGGAGGGCAACGGTGGCTGAGAGGGGAGGCCACCATATCGATATGCTTACACACCACGCTGCGCACGGTTTGTTTGTAGATGGTTCTGCCAGGGGGTGTGGGGCGGGGTTTGAGTGCCCAACCTCCTTCCCATGCCCACTCGATCTCATCGTGTTTTTACGAGCCATCTTGGAGGCAAGTGCAAGCAGTGACGTCGGTGGCGGGGACGCCGACAATCCACAAACACCGATCCTGGGCGAAGGGCCGGCCCAGCTGGGTTCAGTCTTTGTGTCAGGTTTGATTGCATCTCCTTGGAGGTTGAATTGAGCATCGGCCCTGGCATTTCTTTGCTTATGGCCTGGCCCACTCTGGCCTCATCTGGGCCAATCCCGCCGTACCTTTGCATTCTCCAGCTTGATAGTGCCCGAGTCTTGCCGAATCGTTCGTAACGTAACCGAACCCGCGAAGACCTTCCAGGAGATGCTTCCCCAGCCAGGTGCAATGGGGGCCTGGACGAGCTGCTCCAGGTCAGCGACTTCGTCGCGCTCTGCGTCGCCTCCACCGAGGAGACCCGGGGGATGATCGGCGCCCGTGAGTTGGGGCTCATGAAGCGATCCGCGACCCTCGTGAATATTGCGCGCGGGGACATCGTCGTACAGGACATCGTCCTCCTCCTCCTCCTCCTGCTCTTTCGCCCGCCCCTCCTCCGCTCAAGCATCTTGGGCTCGAGATCCATTTTGGCATTTCTCGACGCCTAGCCCTCGGTACATCCCCGTGGCGCTTGAGGCACACCGCACCTCCGCCCTTGTATCAGACAGTCGCGGTGACCAAATCCGAGGGATATCATGCCGTGGTTGCGGCCAGGGTGAGTGCAAATGGCAATTATCCCAACGCGACTAACAATGCGGGAGATGTGGTTGGAAAGTCTAGCTATATGCTCCGTCGACTCGAAGAAGGTCAATAAGGCGGCGGGTAAAGGCGTCCCCAAGTTTCGTTTTGATGGCCAATGTGATCAGGGCAGCGCAGCAGGTAGCCAGCGCTCGACACCAGCATCGTTTCCGCGTGGCAGCGTGGCAGCAACCAGTGTCCTTCCCATTCTGCAGCAAGCAGTGGCGGCTGTGTCCGACCCCGACCACAAGAGGAGCCTCGAAACGCAGATCTCCAAGTTGAAGCAGCGAGGTTGAACGCCGAATTCCGCAGGCAGGAGATGCTGGAGGAGGCCGCGGCTTCGAAGCAGAGGTTCTTGCGCTTCCTGGGGCCCACTTGGAAAAATGACCTGGGAGATTCATTAAATGTGATTTCCCTCGCCAGTCCACGGGAACGCAGACTCTTCATCGATTCCACACTCGGTGGCATAGACCTGAAGCTGTTCCTGGCGCTTCCCACCAAGGCATGGAGGCACAATCTTCACAAATCGGAGCGTTGGCCAGGTGCTGATCGAAGCCTGCGCAACGGAGTGTTTGATGCTGTGGGGCCATTCCCACCGAATCCGAATAGCTTTCGATATCGCTCAAACGTACGAAAGCAACGACCGTTGAAGGACCTAGGAGCAGGCAGCATTTCTGTTACATGTGCCCCACCCCCCCTCGCGACAAGTCCCAAACACTGGTGGTGCAATTTTTTCCGTAGGGGTTTGCACGCGCACACTGCGAACAAAGAACATGAGTTTTCCTTGGTAGGCCCCCCCAGGAAGGCATGTGCATTGAACAATGGCGTCGTACATATATGGGTATAAACTTTGAGCATGAGCAGTGGCTCCAGAAGCGAAGTGACATGATTGATTTTTGACACTCGGATATTACTTCATGTTTCGTGGTGGGGTGCGCTCTGTTCAACATTACCACGAATGGCTTCCATTATCTTTACGATAGTGGATTCCAGGGCAAGTGCGAGTCGCACAAACAAGCATATATCAAGATGAAGAGCGTGCAAGCACTGGTTGGGCATGACATTTCTCAAGTACCAGGCCGGCCAATCCCCAATTCGATGGGAGATTGGCGCAAGCAAGGCGCATACTGGCTGTGATAGTTCTTCCAACCAGTAGCAGATGACCTTCCAGCAACCACGTGCATTTCCAAGCGAAAACTCACTGTACTCGGTCGGCCGCGCTGTGGTCTTAGACACAACTTCAGAAAACAAACCGGTAAATGGCACGCGACAAACTTTTCAGCGCAGCTTTTTACGATACGCCTGCCAAACTGCACGCGTACATCCTGAAGCACCGTCATCATTGGCCGTCCTTTGCTAAATCGTGGATCCGCCAGGAAGCAATTTGCAGGGTCATTCACAATTCCTGCCTAGCGCAAGCGACTCGGGTTTTTGCGAAAGTTGGCGAGGTGATTGGTCCCAGTGGCTGCTCTGCATATTTCTGGAGACAGGCTTCGGCAGACGTGAAGCAGGATCCGAATGGCATCGGTGATTGCATATGGAAATGCGTATGTATGTGTGTATCGCTATAGATATCCCACACTGTATAGCAACATATGTATACTTATAATGTACAACTATATATACGTACACATATAAACATATATATACAATGCGTGCATGCATGTATGTATGTATGCATGTTTGTATGTATGCAGGTATGTATTACGTATCGAGGTACGACTGTGATTGTGTATGTAAGTGTGTATGCATGTGTGCATGCATTTGCGAGATCTTATGTCTGCATGCATGTATGTGTGCGTGCATGTGTGTATGTATGCACGCACGTGCCCATACATGTGTTCAGGTATGTATGCGTGACTGTATATGCATAGTTGTCTGAGAATGAATACAGGCAGGTATGTAGGTAGTTCGATCGGTAGGTACGTGTGTATGTATGTATATGTGTGTGCATGCATGCCTGTATGTATGGATGCATGCATGTATGTGTACGCGAGTGTGTGTGCGCATGCCAACGCTGTGAGCCGTGCGCGGCCTGAGCCGACTGCGCGTGCCTTAAATTTCGCTATGCACGAGAGCGCATGGCAAATGATCAAAGCAGTCGTCGCCATCCCCGCGCGGGTCAGCCAATACCATCGTGCCGCGAGATTTCGGTTTACATGCACGAACACATGTACACTCCGAGTATACACTCGCAAAGTATGCTACACATGATTGGGAGGATGTCTGGGGAATGTGCTGGAGCCGTGCTTCTCGCTTTTCTTTTCTTTTTTGCCACATGCTGCTGCGCGCGCGCGATGCCCGGCAGCACATTATGTCTCAAGCTTCAATCGAAGATCCCCTGAATGGCAGACAACGCCACAGTTGAGCAGCTGCGCGCTATCTCCGATAACTGTTTCGTGTCCTGGGTCGCAAACATGGGGGATAGCAACAACAGACATTTAATTTCGTAACATCCGAATTTTCGTCGAGATAGTTCGATGGTCATCGTAGTTGACACCATCCAGTACCAGGTGAAGGACTGGCAGTTGCGGCGAATGACATGCTTGATTGGAGGGCTCTTGAAGCGATCTGCGACCCTCGTTAATATTGTTCGCGGGGACATTGTCGCGCAGGACCTCGCCCTTCTCATCCTCCTCCTGTTCTTCATATTGCTCCTCTTCCGCTCAAGCAACTTGGGATCGAGATCCATTTTGGCATTGCTCGGCGCCCAGCCGTCGGTGCCCCCAGGGTGTCCGAGGCGCACCGCGCCTCATGATCGCCTTTGCACCAGACATTTGCGGGGAACAAGGCCGAGGGAGGTCAGGCGCATGGTCGCGCAGGTTTGCGGCCAGGGTGAGTGGAATGACGAACTTCTCGAATGCGACCAGCAATGCGGCAGATGTGGTTGGAAAGTCAAGCTGTGTGCTCCGTCGTCGAAGACGGCCAAGAAGGCGGCGGGGAATGGCATGCCCAAGGTTCGTTTTGATGGCGAGGGCGGCCAGGGCAGCGCAGCAGGTAGCCAACATTCGACACCAGCGCCGCTTTTGCGTGGCAGCGTGTGAGTAGCCAGAGTCTCCCCCCTTCTGCAACAAGCACTGGCGGCTGCATCCGGCCCCAGCTTCACGGAGAGCCTTGAGACGCAAGTCGCCAAGTTGAAGCATTCGAGCATTTCAGTAGGCAGCGTCCTTCGGGCCCTTGGGAATGGTGACGGAACACTTCAAGACGTTACGGGCCGACGCGACCAAGCTGCGCAGGCAGCCGCACGTTTGCGGAAGACCCAGGAGAAGAACAGGCTCACCAGGAAGAGGAGGGCCCACTCCGACAGGAGCGATGCGGCGCCGCGAGCAACCAGGCGCCGCCAGCAGCTCCCGCAGCGCGCGATGCCACTGGCAGCGAAGGCGCGCGGGAGCGCGAGGCGACGCTCGCCGCTGAGGCCGCCAGGATCTACGTGGCCAAGTTCGATGCTCAGCGTAAGAAGGAGGGCGAGAAGATCGATGAAGCCATCAACGTCGACGAAAAGGATCTGTGACTTGGCGTTCATGTGCTCGGCGGGGTTGGAGCTTCGGCCGCGAGGCATGTCCGTGTCCGCGTTCGTTGTCCACGCGGAAGTGCGTGTTCGGGCCATCTCGTGAGCGCCCTGGGAAGAATGATGCAATTCACATCCCGCGGGACAACATCGCCGCCATGGGTGGCGCGGCGCGGCGATTCATTTTGGAGGCGCGCGAGAGGCGCACCCGTGATCACATTGGATTAGTTGGGACTCCTGTTGCACGCACCTCCTGGAACCAATGGCTCCCCAAAGCACACAAAAGTCTACCGTGAGGGCTGTCGCCAAACCCGCTGGAGCCACGGGGAATCGCGCGCTGGGGGTTTTGGCGCGCACAGTGCGCCGCTGCCCCGTTTATAAGATGTGGCACTGCGAACGCTTGGCCGCGCCATTAGCAAATCGCTCAGGCGGCCGAGCCAGGTCACATTTCCAAACAATGTCTCGGGGACCCAGTGGGGCGGTCATGTTGTACCCTCTGGGGGCAGTTTTGGACCCCTGAGGCTCCGTGGCATTGGGCCCCTTTGCTGACCTGGAATGTCTCCGCGAGGTTTGGGGGCTCCTCCTTTCGGTTCTTTCGGGGAGCCTCACCGAGGGCGATCTTGAACCACTCTTGGAGGATTTTCTGAGAACCGATGGGGAGCGGCTGCGAAGCATTTCTTGTGGCGAGGGGCCAGACTAGAGGCCGGCGCCGACCGTTGTTCGTTCCGACGGTTACTGCGCCAGTTTATCGTTGTTCCGCAAGGCTTGGGGTTGCTTGAGCTGCTCGTCTTTCGGTGGCCACAGGCGGCTCCTGGCCCAGACAGAGACGATAGGATGAGTTGGCGGGTGCACGCCAGCTTTGATTTCCACGTTGCGGCGTTGAGACTCGGTCTCAGGTCCATCGGTGTAGGGGGTGTCGTACTGGGGGCCAAGGCATGCGCCCAGTCTGACCATCTCCTCAGCGCAGCCTACTCCTAGTTTGAGTCAGCACCTTGGTTTTGGCTACTGAGCCTGCTTCCCCCGAGTTGAACGGAGATCCCGCTGCCGCCGAGATGAGAGTCGTGGGAGATTTCAAATGCTACTTCAGGTGTCGCCGAGGGGTGTTTGGGACAGGGGTCTGACGATCAGTCGACCGTTCTGTTCGGAGATGGGTCCGGTGGGAACCTGCCAAGGGGGGAATTCGCATTTGCATTCTGTGCGAGTCGGCGTCGCCTCACGGTTTTGCCCGGCTTTGAACCTTGCGTTGCTCGAACCTGGGTGCTGAGGCCTCTGGCGGGCTCGAGCAGCCGATATCTCGGGGTGAACTGCGAGAGTTTCTTTCGGCTCTGGAAAGCACGCGCGAGCACATGACATTCGTGACCTCCTGTGCAGTTGTTGCTTCTAGCTGCTAGCTGTTATGCTCACGCGCACGGACGACTGTGCGGTGCCAACACAGATCTGTGGCACAAAATCGGCTACATTTTGGAGCAGAGGGTCTGTCAGATCTCAGTGCTGTTTGTAAGTTCGCACCCCACCGAGGACCAAGCAGACGCCGTTGGTACCCTTCGGAAGCTCGTTATCGGTAATTCTCGCGTGGACGGTCTCTCAGGCCAGGCTGCCTCATCTGCCCGCGTGCCAGATGACATCCGGGCCAACGTCATGAAGATCGAGCGGATAGCCTGCCTCATCAGGCACCACCTGTTCAGGGCGCCCCATCGAGGCCCTGCAGGCGAAGGAAAGGGCGGGAACGCCGACGAGGGAGAAAGGACCACCTCCTCTTCCCCCGTCCCGCCCCCTCCGCCTTTCGTTCCCAGTTCTTCAGGCGTGAGCTCGACGTTTCTAGTGTTCTGGATTTCCCCCTTGGGTGGTGGATTTCCCCCCTGCCCCCTGCTTCCAACCGCAGTTGATCAATCCGAAGTGCTGCTAAAGCCCTGTCGGGTGGCGGTTTCATATCAAGGGGGGGGGGCGGAAGGACACATCGCATGAGGTTGTCCAAGGCACTGAGTGTCAGGTGTTGCGCTTCGCGTGGGTGCTTCGTCCAATCCGCAGATCTGCGAGGTGGGAAGGCCATGCGGTCATCGCGTTGGCCCCCCACCGTCGGGGGCACCAGACACGGATCCAGCGCGGGAAGTGGCGCAGTACGGTTGAGCAGCTTCGTCGCCCGTAGCTCGTTTCTACCACTGCGTGGGATTGCTCGAGCCGAACCTCGAAGCTCCTGTTCCTCAGTCTCCTCCTCTTCGTCCTCGTCTTCCTCCTCCTTCCTCCTCCTCCTCCTCTTTGGCTTCCTCTGTCTCCTCCACCTTCTTCTCCTCCTCCTCCTCGTCCATCTCCCTCTCCTGCTCCCTCCTCTTCTTATGCATCCGCCTCCTCTCCGCACCCCCCCTCCTCCTTCGTCCCTCCCATGTTCCTGCGCCCGCCCCTGCTCATTCCCCCCAAGGTGTCTCTGGAGGCTTCTCCTGGTCCCCGTGGGCCTTTGAAGGCCTTTCGGGGCCTTTCGAAGCTTCTGGAGGACCAAAGGGGGCCAACAACGGGCAAAAACATCGATCTGCGAACCGAAACGTGGGCTCCCGGACCTCTCGCCCCCCCCCCCCCAGGGCCCGGAGACGGCCTGAAGAGTCCCAAAATGGTGGGGCGTGTCGCCGTGCCGATCCTCTTCGTTCTTTTTTGGAGCCGCCAGTCGCGTCCTGCTCCAGAGAAGCAGTCAAGTCGTCGTCCAGGACGCCCTGGTCGCCGCGCTGAGGGACGGCACGATTGGTGCCGCGGCCCTCGATGTGACGACCCCGGAGCCGCTCCCGCGCGACCACCCGTTGCTCCACATGCGGGGAGCAGGACCGGGCGAGCGGGCGCGTGCGCGTCCCCTTGGCGGGGGGGCGTCGGCCCCCCAGGTGAAGCAGACGGCAGTGTAGCCACGCGTGCCCCGCAGCCGACGCCGCCAACTAGAGTTTTCGGATGTTGCCGAAGGTGCCCCCAGCTCGTCACGCCACCTCGGACCTCCATCGGGACCTCCTGGGCCTCGAGCGAGGTGCTCTGGAGGACAGCTGGGTCTCCCCCTGAGAGGCTGGCGTCGCCCTGTGCCATGGTCACCTCCGAGAACTGTCCTCCCGAGGGTTAGCTCCCAGGAAGCTCCTGAACCTTACGACGATCGACAGGGGATTCGGGACATCTGCATTGGCCATTCCCCTCCGCGGACTTCGTTCCCGGCTGATCCTGAGATTGGGGTTGCGCCCTCAGCGGCTCTCGGTAGCCCCCCAACGGCGTTGTGACCACACCGCGTGGTGAGTCACTTGAGATTCGGGGTCGCCGCACGGGGGTTGTTTTCCGAGGCCGTCTCGGGCGACCCGGGGCCTGCAGGATCTCAAGACCGTGCGGTGACGGACCTTGCGGGTGCGCGCAGGCCGCGCCCGAGTGCCAGCGGCGCGCCTGCGCGCGCCCAGGTATGGCGGAGCACGAGCAGGAAGAGGAGGAGGAGAAGGAGAAGGAGGAGAAGGAGAAGGAAGAGAAGGAGGAGGAGGACGAGGAGGAGGAGGAGGAGGACGAGGAGGAGGAGGAGGAGGACGAGGAGGAGGAGGAGAAGGAATGGCGGAGCACGAGTATCGAGAGCAGGAGCAGCAGGAGGGGGAGGAGGAGGAGGAGGAGGAGGAGGAGGAGAAGGAGGAGGAGGAGGAGGAGGAGGAGGAGGAGGAGGAGGAGGAGGAGGAGAGGAGGAGGAGGAGAAGGAGGATCTGGGCTGGCCACAAAACGGGGTGATGTTGAACGGTCCTGACGTTTCGGCGGCCCAGAAGCGGTCGATGTTGAACGGTCCTGACGTTTCGGGAACGGCGGATCGTTCAAGGCTGAACGATCTCCGCGGCGTCGGGAGCCAACCCAGGATCGACACGACGCGGACCTGCCGTAGGGGGGCCTGGAGATCATGGCTGGGGCCATGATATCTGCCTGGATTTCACGGCCGCTCTTCTTATCCAGTGCGTCCCGTGCCCACTGCCCGCGCTGCGCACATGCCTCGGGCCGTGATGTGCGACCCCCCTCTTGGACGCGCCCGAGAGAAAGAGAACGTCACGCCTGCCTCTCCTCGGTCACGCTCCGAGTCGGCTCCGAGGCAGAGCGTGCTCCAGGAGAGGTGCGCAGGACGTCCTCCTGTCCAGACAGGTGGTCGACATTCGGATCAGAACTTCTGCCTATAGGATTCCGTGGCGAATCCGGCAGCGGCGGCGAGGAGGGCCTGAGCGCGCCCGACGGTCGATCCCCGACCTTTGGTCGACGACGACGACGACGACGACGACGACGACGACGACGACGACGACGACGACGACGACGACGACGACGACGACGACGGTGGCCTCTCCTGCTCCCCGCGCATGGAGAACGTGATCGTGACGTCGCACATCGGCTCGGCCACGCGCGAGGACCGCCGCCGCATGGCCGAGATGTGCCTCGAGAACCTCCTGGCGGGCCTGCAGGGGCGGCCGCTCCCGACGCCCGTGGGGCCGGCGGTGGAGGCGTGATAGAGCCCTCTCCCGCGCGGCGGGGGCGTTCGAGCCAGGGGGGGGGGGCAAGGAGGTGTCGATGATCCTCAGGACGCGTGTTAGCTCAACGAGTGTTTGCCCTGTTCGGCCGCCGCCGCTGCTGGGTTCTGACGCCGATGGTTTGTTCGTGTATAAATATGTATGTATAGATAGATAGATAGATAGATAGATAGATAGATAGATAGATAGATAGATATATATATATATATATAGATAGATAGATAGATAGATAGATAGATAGATAGATAGATAGATAGATAGGTAGATAGATATATAGATAGATAGATAGAGAGAGGGAGAGAGAGAGAGAGAGAGCGAGAGAGAGTGTGTGTGTGTGTGTGTTTGTGTGCATGTTTGTTACCCCGTTTGGCCCGTGGCGGTCATCGTAACACCGCCTGCGCCGTGTTGCAGGACGTCGGTGGGCAAGCACTCGTTAGCGCTAACACATAATTGTGGGGGCGTTCGAGCGGGGGGGGAGGGCAAGGAGGTGGTCCCCGTTGGACTGCTCGTAAGAGTGACCCTTCGCCGGAATGACTTTTGGTGCGGGCCCACGGTGGTCTCCCGAGCGCTGGCCTGCGCGCTTGGAATGGGGCCCCCCGCGGCCCCAAGCCCTCGCACGACGGGCCACGCCTGCCCAGGGGCACTCCTGCGTGTGGCCGGCCCCTGGTGCTCCCACACGGAGGGCCCCAGCTTCTCCGCTCTGCCCTCTCGGGGGGGGGGCGTCCTGCAGGGGGCGGCGCCGTCTCGTGGCCGCTGCCAGGCGGAGCTCAAGAGTCTTGCCAGGATGGACCCCCGGAGGGGTCCAGTGATCGATCTTGGGCGCAGGCGGGGCGAGGCACGGGGTGGCCTCAGCTTTGCTGGGGAGGCCCAGAGGTCATCCCTGCTTGGCATCTCTCGGACGTGCGCGTCAGATCAAAACCATCCTGGAGCATCCTGAGACATCCTGACACAAAAACGCGCGCGCAACCAAACGATGCACGGGGAATGGACGCCCCAGCGATGGCAAGGCCTTGGCGCGAGGCCGCAGTTCCAGGCCTGCGCTGCCCTGATTTTCGTGCCAACGCGCGATCCCCGGAAGCCCTCACCCGGGGCCGATTTCTCATCCCGGATCGTTTTGTTGCTGGCCCCAGGGCCCAGCAAGGGCCCCCAGAGGCCGAACATGGAGAAAGACCTGCGCCCTGGTGTTCGTCAGGACGTTGCGTGTCTGGGGTGAGGAGAGGGGGCGGGGGCTCCAAGACTGGCGCCAGGCCGCTGGGGGGCACCCCAGGCTCGGAGGGCCTCCCTAAGGGCACCCCCCGCGAGCGAGCAGGGTGCCCAAAAAGGGGATGGGGGCTGCATAAGTGTTGTGTGTGTGCTGTGTTGTGTTGTGTTGTGGTGTGGTGTGTTCTGTTCTGTTCTGTTCTGTTCTGTTCTGTTCTGTTCTGTTATGTTGTGTTGTGTTGTGTTATGTTTTGTTCTGTTATGTTGTGTTGTGTTGTGTTGTGTTGTGTTGTGTTGTGTTGTGTTGTGTTGTGTTGTGTTGTGTTGTGTTGTGTTGTGTTGTGTTGTGTTCTGTGTGTGAATGTCATGGCCTGGGCCACGATACCTCCCTGGATCTCATGGCCCCTTCTCCTGCCGACACAGCCCCTGCACAGGCCCCCCCCCCCTCCACGCACCTGCCTCGGGCCATGATCTGCGACCCCACCCCCTTGGGACGCCCCCCTCTCGGACGCCCCCGCTGGCCGAGCATGGCGCTCGCCTCCCGGCGGCAGGTGCTCGGCCGCGTGGCGGCCGCCGCCGGGGCAGCGCCGCGCGGCCCCGGGGCGCGACGGCCAGCGCTGGCGGGGCCACGCCGCGCGCGGCCGCGGCGTCCTCCCCGTTCACTGCCCCCTTCCCCCCCTCTTTGCCCCGTGCTGCGGGGCCCCCCGCCCCCCCCCCCCCCTGCGGAGGTGCAGGCTGTGCGGATTCGCCGTGGTCTCGGGTGAGCCTTCTGTCTGTTCGCTGCACACCTTCCGTGTTTAGCCAGATATGAGTTCCTCCTCCTCCTCCTCCTCCTCCTTCCTCCCTCCTCCTTCCTCCTCTCCTCCTCCTCCTCCTCCTCCTCCTCTACTCCTCCATCTCTGTGCTCATGCACCGCCCTTCTGGGCCACGCCGCGCGCGACCGCGCCGCCATCCCCATCCGTGCCCCCCTCTTTCGCTTGGAGCCGGCTGGGGGTCTGAGTCGGCCTGGCATTGGTTTGGGCGAACAGAAAGGGGATGATGATGATGATGATGATGATGATGATGATGATGATGATGATGATGATGATGATGATGATGATGAGGAGGAGGAGGAGGAGGAGGAGGAGGAGGAGGAGGAGCAGGAGCAGGAGCAGGAGGAGGATTGATGAGGAGGATGGGGATGATGATTGATGATGAGGATGAGGATGAGGATGAGGATGAGGACGAGGATGATGATGAGGATGATGATGATGATGATGGTGATGGTGATTATGCCGATGATCGTGATGATGCCCGTGGTTTTGATGATGTCGATGATGATGCTGATGACGATGATGCTGATGATGATGCTGATGATAATGATGATCGTAATGATGATAAGGATGATGCTGATGAGTAGAATGATAACGGCGACTTCCACGATAATGAGGATGATGATGGTGATGGTCATGGTGATGGTGATGCTGAGGATGATGATGCTACTTATGCTGCTGCTGACGATGATGATGGTGACTGTGATGGTGATGGTGATGGTGAGTGTGTCGACAATTGTGATGTCGGCGGTGATGAATATGATGTTCATGGTGGAGGTGATGGTGATGAAGGTGATGACGGTCACGAGTTTGATCATGGTGATGATCATGATGACGGTGATGATCCTGCTGATGATCTTGATGATGTGTGTGATGCTTATGGTGGTAATGATGCCGATAAAGGTGATGACGACAACGTTGCCGATGCTTGTGATGGCGATGATGAGGATGTGGATGCGGATGAGGACGAGGATGAGGATGATGATGATGATGATGATGATGACGCGCATTGTGATGGTGATGATGATAATGGTGATTCCCCGATCAGTGCTTGTACTGAAGGGGCCCTAGCAGATATAAAAGATTTGGCGAAAGTGCGGTACCGATTTCGGTGGGCGGCCAGGTTCTTGGGTTTCGGTTCAAGGTTCCCGGGTTCCCGATTGCTGCTTCCGGGCCAATTTCGGTAGGCGGCGGGGTTCCTGGGTGTCCGTGTTCCCGGGTTCTTGGTCGATTTTCTTATCGATCTGTCTTACCATCGGGCTCATTACACACTTCTCTACCGATCTCACGATGGATCTCAAAATCCATCTCACTATCGATCTCACAATCGATCCCACTATAGATTGCACGAGCGATCTCACGATCGATCTCACTATCGATCTCACTGAATCGACTTCACTATCGGTCTCACGATCGACCATCGTCCCCATTATCGATCCTCGACCCCTCCATCGATCCTACTTTCGATCTGACGATCGATCTCAATTTCCTTATCACTTACTTTCACACGATCCACTGATTGTGTTTTTCTCTGTTGTAATTGTGCTTTGATGACGATAGTGATTGATAGTGATGATGCTGATGAGGATGATGATGAGGATGCTGATGATGAGAATGATGAGGCTGACGAGGATGATGATCATGATGGTGATTATGGTGGTGATGGTGGTGGTGATGGTCCGTGTGAATGATGGTGATGGTGATTGTCATCGTGATTTTGTTGATTGTGATGTTGACGATTGTCTGGGGGCTGATAAGGATTATGATGATCATGTTGATGGTGCTTAGGATTAAGATGATGGTGATGATGGTAGTGATGATGCTGATGATGACGATGATGATGATGAAGAAGAGGATGATGATGATGAGGAGGAGGAGGGGGGACCACTGCTAACCTAAGATATGCCAACGATGCTGTAGCACTCGCGGCCCGTCCCGAGCCCTCCTCACAACTCCAGACACCTTCCCCTGTGCATTGCATGGAGCGCCCCCCAGAAAGACGAGCGTCCCGTGGGTATGTACATTTATTTCTTAATTATATGTGTATATATATATATATATATATATATATCGTCTCGTCGAGGGCCCCGTTAGGAAAAGGGTAAATACCCATATAGCCCAGCATGATGATGAGGTTGAAGAGGAGATGGGAGCCAGGGGTCCAACGGTGAGAAGTCTTGCCACCGTCCTTCATCCTTCATGGGGGTGCCCGAAGTCCTCTGGAGGTCCCCGGAGGCCTCCACATGGCCAACAATGATGGAGCACGTTGAAATTCTCCTTGCGTCATGAAGCGTGTCTCCCCGATCCTCCATGGCCGAGGGCAGATTTCAGCACCCAGGAAGGGGGGGGCGGGGGCCAGGGATGCTCCTGGGCCGACGGTCGGGGAGTGTTGGGGCGGCAAACAAGCCGGAGGGGCGCTGCGCCGCAGGGCCGCCGCGATCAGCTGCACCTCGCCTCGCCTCGCCTCGCCTCATCGTCAACGCAGTCGTCGTCGTCGTCGTCGTCGTTGTCGACCCCCTTCTCGAGGAGGAGGCGACGGAGGACGGGTACAGTCGGACCGAGGCATAAGATCGAGGCCGGTTCGGGGAGGGTCGCCTAGTGTTCTTCGTGTTTGTTGGATGTTCTTGTGCATTCTGGGAGAGGGCACCCTCGAATAATCCTATGGTTTGGGGTGCTTTGGTCGTCGGAGGGTCTCATGTTCTTGAGGGGGAGTCGAGTTTGCCAGGTCCGGCTGTATGAGGGGGAGTCGAGTTTGCCAGGTTGAGCGCGTCAAAGGGTCCCGCCTATTCCCACCCTTCCTCCCCCAAGAGAAGAATCAGGTATGCCACAATCTGAGATTGTGATTGGTATGCGTTCCCACCGAGCCAAAGGACGGCGCTCGC